GACCGGCCGGGTCTCGTTGACGGAGGTGACGTCCGACCTGTGTGTGTGCCCCCAGGCCCCTCCCGAGTGAGGCCGACAGAGACCCCCCAGGCACCGGAGGCCACGGCGGTGGGCCTGTTGCCCGCTGACGGCCCACCTGCACGGGTGGCGGACACCGCACGAGGGAGCGGGCCAGCAGCGCATACCCGCTCGAGGGGGGTGCGGCTCCGGTGACGGCCCTGATGGCCGTTCAGCGGGCCTAGCCCCTGGCGCCCGTTCGGCGCTATCCGGCGGATGAGGCCTTCGGGCTCTATTTGTTTTGTTTTTTTGTTGTTACTGTTCTGCTTGAAGGGCCGTGCTGCCCTAAGGTTGATTGCAGCCGGGTCGGCTGTTTTTTTTTACGGGGGGGGGTGATGTAGAGGAGTAGTGGAGAGTGGTGGCGTCGTGTGCGCTGTCAGGTGCGGTGACCTCACGGGACGTGGGGTCGCACGCGCTGGGCAGTGCACGTGACATCACCCCTCCGAGGGTATATAAGGGAGACCCCGTAACGTAAGCGGGGTCACTGGAGGAACGGGGATAGTGGAAGGGGTAAAGAGGGAACCAGGGATAGTGATAAGTGTTAATAAACCCTGGCGGAAGCCCCTAACTCAACCTCCGTCTCCGAGTACCTCCGTCTACGATACAACATAGGTAAGAGAGGGGGGAGGGGCAAGGGGGGAGAGAGGGGGGGCGTTGCGTGGACGCTAGGAGAGGGACGAGAAGCTGGACGGGGAGAAGTGGGCGGGGCTGGAAGTGGGAGGCCGAGAGAGCTGGGGATGTATAGGAATGGCTTTAAGTACAGTATTAACAACTATTTGTGTACTTTTTATGTCACTAAATTACAGTGACAAACAACACGAAGTATGATTTACATTGCAAAAATCTGTTCATGAATTATCTTTATTTGATTCCAGTTGCTACAAATAAATTGACGTGTACTCCTAATAAAAAAACATTAACTGCTGCAATATCTCTTCTGAGAATAATCACAACTTTTGAAATGTTTTTTAGAGCCTGACAGCTCCCACCTTAATTATATTCTAAAAGACTGCCTGTAAACACACTCTTCTTGAAATTGTCTTTTCCGAGACCAAGGTTCTCTACAAACCTCCTGGCTACCATCAAAGGTTTGTACACGAAGCCATACAAATATACAAACACAGACATAATTTCTACCGTGATGATGGTTACAAACTGAGTAATCATTGGAAAGATGTGATTAACCATGCAAAAAAGATTTAACTATACTTATTTGGACCATCTTATTTGACAGACAACTATTACAGGTTATTGATAGACAACCAGGCTTGTTTTACCAGGTTTATTTTTTTCTTTTTTCACACTATTGTTATGTAGGCCAGGCTTAGTCACAAACCGTACCTCTCCATAACAAAGGCTCAGCCTCTTAAGCCTCACCTTACCATATTAATAAAAAGTGTGCCGTAGTTGGCCCTTCCCCCCCTCTCCAACCATTATATATACGGAGTGGTAGCTCTTGTAATCTCTCATTGACTTGATACAGCTGTCGTGGCTGTGACGGTTCCACCTGAAGACGGAAGCTTGTGTTGCCTCCGAAACGTCGTGATTTTTATTTTATTTTACTTTTATTACTTTTAATGTTTTACCTACGTGACTTTACCGAAAAAACCTAAGAATATGAATCCTTGCAGTCACGAAAGCTTCAAATATAGAAACACTGCACGTGGCTAAGTAAAGCTACACCCGACAAAAACTACAAATTCAGAGGAAATGTTTTTAAAACACCCTCGTGTGCTCATCTATGGCTAATATCTGATTCAACTCTTGTCTAAATATCTGTTTTTTTTGTTTCAAATGTGGTGATCCATGCTAACCAACCACACACTCACTGGCCTCAACATCGGGTTGTTGGATATTGATGAGATCACGTGTGTGAAAAACCCAGATGCATCGGTAAAAAAGTTCCTGCAGGAAGTGGCAGTACAGAAAGTTGTGTTTTTGGCCTATTTGTGCAGAGTTTGAGGACCCAATTTATGAAACAATTTTTGCCAAAGACTGCCACTACTATATTTGACAGAATGAAGGCCATTTATGCGAAAAACAGACCATTTTCACACTTTAGGAACAAGAATATCATTATTATTATGCAGTGTAGTTACTTCTTAAGTAAAATTGGTTTAAGACATTAAGTGCATACCTTGAGATCGCCCTGTGTGATTACGAAAAATCTCTGCAGGGACCAAGTAGCCAGAAAACGGGAAGCTTGCGTTGACATCCAATGGGACGCAGACGTCAGAGTGGCGACCGCTCGTTCAGTGATGCCCCGCAGGACCGGTTCACTGGCAACTGGAGCGTGTTCGTGACTGGTGAACCTTTCTAGAGGAAGCAAAAACTACCTTTGTGAGGTGAACAGTGCAGCCCCTTACAATTGAATGTAATGTCGATGTTGCCTGTTTTGAACCGGAGGAATTATTCTTAGTTTGGAAAAGGAGTATTAAGCCCAATTAGAAAACGATAAGAGGGGTGATCTGGTTATTTGACGATTGTGGACAGGGCTGCACACTGTGTAACAATTTATTTTTTTATTTATTTTGATCCTGGGTAGTAAGTGTTATTTCCTAATTTCTTATGCCTCAAAAGTACAGAACATGGCCATTATTCCCCACAAACTTTGCTTTTGTGACCAGGACAGTGATATTTTGAAATTTACCTATTTTCCAGAACATTGCAGATATATTCAGTGCAGAGTAAACTTGGAGTAACTTCTAGAACATTATAGAACTTTCCAGTAATATAAATAGTAGTATAAATACAGGGGCATTAAGCCCACTGATTCAGTTTAGTACCAGCTGCCTAAGTGGATACATATCTGCCTTTTTCTGAGATGGCATCAAGAGGCTGCAAGCATCTGGCAGACGCATTTTGCTATGTCTGTGGCCAATTTATCAAGACAAGAGCGAAAGTACTCTCTGGAAGTATCTGCTAAGATGTGTGAGGCCTACAAGGCATATTTCGGCATGCTTGTCGGGGATCAAGACAAACCCTGGGCACCTCATTTCACCTGCGAGCAATACAAAAAACACTCTGGAAGGTAAGATGGACAATTGTTGCTCGGAATTTTATGTTATAAAATTTGTTAAAACTTTTTTAATTTAAAAAGGTTTTTAATTTGAAAATGTTTTACAATTTTTAATGTTATTGAAAAAATATATCATATATCAAAAATGTTGTGAAAATCTCTTACACATTAATCATGGGTGAACTAAATGTATTTTTGTAGGATGGTACAGAGGGGAAAAGAGATCCATGAAGTTCGCTATCCCAAGAATTTGGCGGGAATCCACTGAGCACTCACGCAACTGCTACTTCTGCATGGTGGACCCTTCAAAACGTCGGACTGGCAAGAATGCACCTGCTATCACGTATCCGGACCTTCCTTCATCCATCACCCCAGTGCAATACTGCCATGAGCTCGCCGTACCCACTCCTCCGGAGAGAGAACAGCCATCTTTAGAAGAGAGCAGCAAGTCAGAGAGCGAGGAAGACGTAGATCCAGATGACAATTTCAGAGGTGGAGCTGAGGTGAGAAACCCATACTACCCCAACCAAAATACCTCAATGGCTTGATCAGAGATCTTGGTCTCACCAAGTCCAATGCCGAGCTTTTGACGTCGAGGCTCAAGCAGTGGAACTTGTTGGATGAAAATGTGGAAGTCGCAGATTAGAGGAAGTGTTACCAACCTTTTTGCAGCTTCTTCACCCGTTAAGATGGGCTCTGCTTCTGCCACAATGTGACCAGTCTGTTCGAGGCAATCGGAATCGCCTATAACCAGAATGACTGGCGCCTCTTCATTGACAGCTAATCCAGGAGCCTCAAAGCCATGCTGCTTTATCATGGTAACAAGTACCCATCTCTTCCCCTGGCTCACTCGGTGCACCTCAAATAGGATTACAACAGCATCAAGACCTTGCTGAACGCCTTGAAGTATGATGAATATAGCTGTGAGATCATCAGAAACTTCAAAATGGTGGCATTCCTGATGGGTCTACAAGGCGGTTTTACCAAGTGTTCCTGCTATCTTTGCCTTTGGGACATTAGCGACACCAAGGCGCACTACCACAGGCGGGACTGGCCACAGCGTACCGAGTTCTCTGTGGGGAGGAACAACGTCAAGTGGGAGCCACTGGTGGACCCCTGGAAGGTGCTGATGCCACTACTACACATTAAATTGGGCCTTATGAAACAATTTGTCAGAGCTGTAGATAAGGAGTTGGCAGCCTTCAAGTACCTTCAAGACTTCTTCCCTAAGCTGTCTGAGGCAAAGGTCAAAGCCGGTGTCTTCGTCAGACCACAGATGAAGAAGATCCTGGAGTGCAATGCATTCCCCAAGAAGCTCACTAGTAAGGAGAACGCGGCTTGAGACAGCTTTGTCGCAGTGGTTCGTGGCTTCCTGGGCAATCACAAGGTCGAAAACTATGTGGAGCTGGTTGAGAACTATGGCACAATGGGCTGTAGGATGTCCCTCAAAGTCCATATCCTTGATGCTCATCTTGATAAATTCAAGGAGAACATGGAAGCATACTCGGAGGAGCAAGGCGAGCGCTTCCACCAGGATATACTGGACATTGAACGCCCATATCAAGGACAGTATAACGAGAACATGATGGAAGACTGCATTTGGGGGCTGATTTGTGAAAGTGATTTACAGTATAATCGTAAATATCGAAAAACTACTCACTTTTAAATGTTTTTGTAGTAATTTTTGTATTACTTTAGTATAATTACATGTTAATTTTGATTCATATGTTGTTTTTTTCTGACTTTATGTGAACGAAAAGACACAAATTCGCCCGTTTTTTCATTGAAAACAGGTAAATTTCAAAATATCACTGTCCTGGTCACAAAAGCAAAGTTTGTGGGGAATAATAGTCATTTTTCTATACTTATTAGGCATAAGCAATTACGAAATAATACTTACTACCTAGGAACAAAAATTGTGTTACATAATGAATTATCACACTGCTGCTGGATGAGGCCTCCTCCAGGCCAGGTTGGTCATGGAGGTTATTTATTTGATCGCCATGTTCATCAGTGCGGGTTAGTGAAGTGGGAGGCCCAGGACCTGTTCAGATATCACTCACTACTAGTGTGTTAGCCATGGGTTCAAAACGTGGTATGCTAACCGCCACAACCCCACGTAAGGTACAACTAAATCATGTGTCCCCATTTTCATGAATATTGGGCAGAATTCATCTCCATTGGGGGACCTTAGCCAGTAGTATACATTACAAATTGTTGTTGGAATCATTCTATAGCACAAACGACAGTTGGCTTCTCGCAAGGTGGTATTCATTTTATACAACCTAAAATGGTGATAACCTGAGTTGATGATCATCTGAGTTTATTCATGAGCAGCCTTATCGCTTGTGAGTCAGTGGGGTGAGGTAAGGTAATATAAATGAATGTGTTACTTGCCCATCACAGATCGAAGAGGAAGCAATGATTGATGGAACATCCTGGCCGTTCTGGTTCTGCAGACACCGGCTCCCTCATCATCCAGGGAATGGCGATTGCTCAAGGTTGAGCCCAGAGCTTGACAAAACTCTACACTCCACCGAAACACATAGATAATGATGATCCCATTTATAATCACCCGCATTGCCAGGGCTGCTCAACTGAATGCAGAAGCCACTTAAATTGCTTTCATATTTCCCAAATTATCATAGACTCATAAACAAATCGGTCTAGAAGAGAGAAAAAAACCACTCGGGGAGCTCCAGAACTGGATAACATCCTGGCATGGCAGTGCTATTGGTTGTTGTATGGGAGCGGTAGTGCAATGGCTAGCGTGCTGCGCTACAAATCCGGCGACCCGAGTTCAATTCCTGCTCACAGCCAACACAAGTGACGATTATCTGAATCGGTCCTGGGCCTCCCCTAGATCGACTCAGCCTCAACTGAGTGCCTCGTGCAATGTGTAAACATCGCCAATGGGGAGACAAAGATGGCCGGGCATGGTGCTGGCCACCCCACTCCCTTGTGCACCGTGCCGGCCTTCATAGGTATTCGCTAACAATACTTGCCTCAACAGTTTGTTAAAGCTATTCAAGGTATCATTGTCTTTGTATGGATAGAAAGGTCACTCATAAAAACGTGGAAATTGCACGACTGGCTCATGACCAAAGCTTTGCACCAATTTGATATTTTTTGGTTTTCCTCGGCGAGTATAAAATTGATCAGCAGACATCTGTTTTGAATTTAAATTGGCGTTTAATTTTAATTCGACTTTAATTGCGTGAATTAACAACCCGAAAAAAACCATCCAAGTAGAAACGATGGACACGGGCATCAGTTATGTGGTATAATTCATTTTGCTCACAGTCTCTTACTGATAAAGCAGAGGCTCCCGTTTCCTGCAAGTGAAGTTCCTCATCGCCACTGTACACAAGTTATTATAGTTGCGTAATGCCTGCATTATTCAGACCAACCACACCCCCAACGTTCGAACGTTCAGAGATGATTGACACGTGGCAATGTTTACCTGTGTCCCAGCACGTAATGGCAAGCCAAGCTTGCGCGTATGCGGAGAGGGCTTGTAAACAGTTCCGACACTCCAACTGCAAATCCTCTGCGCAATAACATTTGCCAGGAAGTGAGACAACTTGATTTAAAAAAAAACATAGGGATATAAATATGCATTTCTAAGCAGGATTGCTTTAAATGTAGAGTACAAATAAGTAGTTTTTTTATGTATTTTGCTGTGCTTTGTCTAGAGAATTAAGCTGTTCTAATCATAGAGGTGACATTGGGGATAATACTATTGAAGTACTCTTGAAGACGCGTGGACAACGTGGTAAGGCACACGTATTTATTTACACAATGTCTTACAGCACTGGAGGGATGTATCGGCCCCCTCACCCGTATAACTGGGAATTCACCTCTAGCTAGCCTTCCTAGCCGAGTCCTCCGCTAACGGGCTAGGGGAGGCTGTCTGGCCCGACACTGGTCAGTCGGGCTACGGTACCCAGAATCCCAGAGGTCTAACTCTGGTTCCGGGACCACGCCACTGGCTCCAGCCTGCGCTGCCCTTACAAGGGCGGCGTCCCAGGGGGAGTCCAGGGCCTATCTGGCCGGTCTTCCGTCTTCCTTTAACTACACTAAGACTGAACCCCGAGCTCTCTGGCTCATCCCTTTTTATACCCCCCTAGAGGATCGAAACCCCCCTCACGCCGTCCAGTGCGGACGTCGTTGCGGGCACCACCCCGTGTGCTCACGGAGTCCCCGCCCACTGTGTTTGTTATCCGTTAGCTCCTATGCAAACAGCCTTACACCAACAGCCCCTCTGTAACAGCCCTACACTATGTTAGATTACACAAATATTCGTTTGTTTATATTTCGTTAAGTTGATAACAGCCGTCTACGGGAAGGATTTGCCGTGTTTGTTTCACACTTAACTTCTAATTTAGCAAACTTTGGAAGAACGTAATCAACCAAGCTACGCGTTAACTGTGTGTTAACCGATTCTCCTAAATTTACGAAACTTGCTTTCTCCGTACTTGTTTGTACGTCCAGTGTCGCTCCTCCGCCCGCTATGGGCAGGAATTCCATACAACTCTCTCATTGTTTTCTACCCCCCCCCCTGCCCCACCCCCTATCTCTATTTAAGGCCTCGACACAGAGGCGTTCTTGCTCTGTGTGCCTATGTGTGTGTGTCTTTTTCTGTGTGTCTCTGTGTCATCTCTCTCTGCTTATGTGTCTATGTGTCTCCGTGTCTGCTATTATTTGATATGTTTTCTTTCTTCACCGAAAGAACCAAAGAGTGATAACAGCGCTGTTCATCACAACATTGCAATACAACTATAGTGGCTTCATTTACTTTCACCCGCAGATGCAAACAGTGATGATTTATGTGCAAAGTCTACGGAGGGAGCGGATGCAGTGTTTCTGTTTATCTACGCCGTGTGTGTGGTTCATTGTCACTTAAGAATGAACGTTAAGCGCCCTGTTAACATAGACTCATGAGCATGTAGCATTCACTCTATTGACAAACCACATAGCAAATAAACTCGTTGCAATATTTACATTGGGCTCTCAACCAAAGATATCTACGTTATACAATACGCAATTGTAATTAAATTACAATTAAAACATTTCAGATATGACCTCAACAACCTTATAAAATTCGCACTCTTTAAAAAGGAGATTTTGAATGAGTTATACAAAAATTGGTTTTGTCTTTTTGCACAATTTATTTTTATTATGCTATCGATGTCAGAGCAGTGTAATTATTTTTTCTTACAGAATGAGTCATGGAAACGAACTTAATGCGGCGATATCTCTAAGATCCCTTCAAGGGACATCAAGTTAACACAGGTGGGGAACAGAACATCCACACCCACTTTGTTCATCATATGATAGTAAAAACAATATCTATATATAAGGGAAATTTGTGAATATGCGTATCTGTTCGAAATGTTTAGCATACTTCCCAACATGCAACAAACTTGAAATTTGGCATGTGGGTAGCTTCCAGACTGTACACAATGAAAAAAGTATAAAAATAGACTTTTGTATTTGGGGGGGGAGGGCGCAATAATGGATATATTTTGCACAAGTAAGCGGTGACGTCACATCTGTGATGTCACCCACATGCGGCAGCGTCACGCAGTGTGCCTGCTGACGTCACGCATCCCCGCCCCACCCGCTTCGTAGGCCGTGTATTAATCCAAGACAAGAATCCAAGTCTCGGGCGAAGCCGGGTAGTAAAGCTAGTAATTGATAAAACATTTGTGGAGCTGGAATTTAATCAAATTAAACGCAGAACCAAATTTTGCATCATTTTTGTTGTTGTTGTGTAGTCATTGGTGACCGGAGTGAGACCATTAACTCATGACAAATGCCGGTTTAATCACAGGTGGCTATTAGGACTCAAATCCAGTATCGGGGCACTGAAACATACACAAGCTTTAAAGATACAGTTTGAAAAAATATCTAACTATTTACTAACCTTGCCTGCTTGCCTTCTGGAGGTCTTCAACCAGGGTGGACACCACAGAGGCAGGGTGGTAGGGGAGATAGCCCAGACTCTCACCACAACTGTGGCTTTTGACTGGAACCAGTGAGAAGAGACATTCCACGAGACTCCACGACAGTGCATGCCACAACCATTGCTGGTATTGCCAGGCCAAGTGTTTCCCGTCCCTCAGTGCCATGGCACGAGCAGTGTCTACCACCTTACCTTGGTCCACTGCTTGGCTGTGTGATTCAAAGTGGCTATCATCGTTGCTGTTAATCCATTTTGCACCCCTTATGCTTGTGTATGACTGTTGTGTCTTTCGAAAATCAGAATGAGCAAATGGAAGGTTTGTGACACATGTAAGATTTGGCAAAATATTGTGAATGAAATCATATTCATAAAAAAACTGCTGTTTAAGGTCACGAACAATGCCTGGTGCTTTCTTGGAAGAATCAACAGTTTTACTCTTAAAACCCGCACTGTCATTGGAGAGCATCTGGCCTAATGTTGCCTGATTACCATCAGAGCTAGAAAAACTTTCCAAATAATGACAGTCTCCTTCTGGATTGTCACTTGAACCAACGATTTTTTGCGTTTCTCCCCGTTTTAAAAGCGGTCTTAACTTGTGAGATTGTGTCGTGCAGAGTCAGCGCGCACGTTGATGCACGTTCGTTTGCCAGCGTCTTGAGAATCCTTTCCATGGAGAAAACCTTCACATTAAACTCTGCACTCTGCAGACAGTGTCCATGAGCATTGCCCGGCAGGTCATAAACACAAACAGTCTTGTAAATTAAGCAATCAAAAATATCGCTAGCCTTTAACTCCAGCACCGTTTTGTTAAACTCCGCAATGGATTTGCAGACATCGTTTTCCAACGTGACCTGAGGGCATATGGCAATTAGGCATAGTCTGGTGCTCAGCAATTTCTCCATGCAAGTCAATCCCTGCAGCGCCTGCTTGGCCAAAGGGAAAATGTTAAAGCAGCACATCGGCCGAGGCAGAATGCTGCAGGTCCAACTGTCCATCGTTTCAGGGCAGCTTGCGGCCGTCTGCACGCGAGTCGGCACGTCCAAGTCGCTCATCGCACTCCGGCAAAGCCCGCTCCACCGAGCCGAGAAATCCATCAGCTCCTGGGTGAGTCCGTTCAGCAGTCGGGCTCGCGGTTGGCACTGCGCGGGTGGCGTCCTGCCGCCGGCCTGCAGCTGGGCACGCAGGACGCGGAGCCCTTTCCGCTCGCAGCCCAGCAGCCCGGCCGCCCGGCGCGCAAACGCGGAGGCGGAGGCCAAGCACCGAACGCGGTCCCTAGCGAGCAGCAGCCGCGAGCGGCGCTCGGCGAGACCGCGGAGCCTCCCGCGGAGCTTCCGAACGGCGGCGAAACCAGGGTGGCAGCCAAATACTCCTCCCGCAGCTTCGCCGGCGTTCGCTGCACGTTGACAGCTTCTGTATGCACCGTGACCAAGAGAGCAATGTACACCTTGTGGGCACGTAGGGTCCTGTCGCGCCGGGGGTTTGGAGGGAGCTGAACCCTCCCTGTTGAAAGCTCAGCCCCCCTCCTTCTGCTTTGATGATAGACAAACTGCAATCGCAGGAATGGGGCTGTATGTACGTATGTTGAACTTCTTTCACACCGTACGTATCCAACCGTGCTCATCGGAGGTGTACGGAATGGCCAATGAAGTACAATTAAACGATGGGTGTCGCAGCCTCTCATTGTATAAACAGGGGGCAATCGCTAGAGCTGACTGCATGATAGACAGTTTAACACGTAACAGGCTTTCGCAACCAATATCATCCATAAGTATAGAGGTTTTTTTGGGTTAAATATGTAAATGTGTCATTAAAACCCCCCACAGCCAACTAGTAATGTATGTTGGCTCATTAATCCCCCCCCCCCCCCCCCACTTTGCGCAAGAGCGCAGAAGCGTGATCACCACATCTACGCTTCTATATAAGGAGCGAAACAGGTGGACTTCACAAATCTGGCTGTCGCCTGATGAAGCTATTTGTAATTACTGGCGAAACGTCGTACTCAGATTGTAAATGTTGTGGCTTGGCTCTCCAATACACCGGTGTGCTGTACTAGTGACGAATTGGCCACATTCTTCTTCTTGGTTCTTTCGACAGACCTGGTCTGAAATTCAGACGCTGTTGCCTCGACAGACCTGGTTTTCACCTTAGGACGGCTGCTTGCGTTGTGGCCGAAACGTCGTGTGAATTATTTTTATTATGTTTTATTATTTTATTACTTCCCTTCTACGTGACTTTACCGAAAGAACCAAGAATATGAATCCCTGCAGTCACGAAAGCTTTAAATATAAATTTGGCCACATTCTGTTTACGTGACAACCCTTACTAGTTACTGTGTCGGGTGGTGGCAGGTTTTAACGACACATTTATATATTTACGCGATCTAACCAAAAAAACCCTCTATTATGCATGATAGACATCAACAGATGGTATCGCTGTTTTGCACTTCACATTTTTTAAAAGTTTAAACGTCGTCTCGTCTCCCTTTTCTACCTGAGTTTGTGTATGGCCCCCCTCCCACTTCAGGGCTGCGTTCATGGCTTTTATACATTCGTGAATGCATATTTTGGGAGTAAGAGTAATACCATACCTCGATATGCGTATCCTGTATTCGATTAACGAAGTTTCGGTATCATGAACATTGCATTTTTTATCATCATTTTGCATAGAAAGCTAAAAATAAAGATAATTAATAAATGAAGCATTTGTCGATCAACTACTATATAAATAATACAATTATTTTTCTTAAGTTTTTTTTCACGTTAGATGTTTTCTTTTAATACTGTACGGTAGAACATATATTATTTTCAATATAAATTGTATTTTTCTTTACAATATGAATGGTCAGTTATCAAGTGTTTATAGTGTGAGATGGTAAGTTACGAAGGCTGGGAACGCATTCTCATTGTTTTAATGTTGTAAGCTAATATACGAACAAAGATAGAGGAACGCATCTACTTCGTATATCGAGGTATTAAGGTTAGGGTTCATCAAGACTTGATTTGTATATAAACTCATAACTATAGTACATGTGGTAACCATCTGTGGTGATGTGAGTGCCCAGAACTGGTTCGTATAGCACTCAGTATTGGCCACGAATTTAATAGAGTGGTCCGGGTATATAGCACAACACGCTAACCACTGTGCCACAGTTCACTCCATTATAACATCGTGTTACGTCAGATTATTTACCCATAGCTCACACTAACATTCAGAGAAGTCCTGGACGACACACTTCATACACACCAGAAGTTCCCTGCATACGTGTGTATACATTTACTAATCCTTGGGTTGGAATTACAGCTCCTATGACGGAGCAGCTCTTGAAAAACTGAGATAAAACACGTCTTCACATAAGATACTTGTAAATAACCTTCCGAGTAAATATGAAACGACAATTATTAAGCATACTGTAGACAGTGGTGCAATCTTTAAAATATCTTCCCGCTTGGAGATCTTGATTTATTTCTCCTTCTGTCCAGTATAGATGATGTATCTAATGTTCGTATAGATTAGTCGATTTTAAACACAATGCATCATATGCATACTTTACCCTGATTCGCGTTATAACCTACTCGCCTTCTATACGAGTAGGTTGCACTATCGCTGCTTAAGGAATCAATCAAAATGCGTGTAAAGTAGATGGTAAAACACGTCTTACCTGCTGTGTGGGGGCTTTAACATGCTCGCATCGCGATAGTGCTTGTCCAGATGCTGTAAGCAGCTCTGCAAGAATTCCATGGGTTCCATCTCAATTTGGTTGGCCATTATTGCCCACGTCAGCCACGAGTTTAAATCCGTCCCGTTTCTTCTCAACTAGACAATCTCGCACCTGCGCTCCGCTCCCTTCAGCTGTTCCTTTCAACCACCACCGCTCACGTTTGGGTCAGGCAGGGCTCTTCTCACCTGTATTTAAATCATAACCACCAGCACCACCTCTGCAAACGATGGATGGATCCTTGAACGGCCACTGGAAATCAGTGCCAAAAAAAACTTTGTTGAGTATATTTACAAGTTGCATCTACTCAGAGAATAAGCACTCGTGCTTTAGTGACAGCCCTCATCGAACTTCCAACTTCAGATTGCACGGTACGATGACTTCACATTCGATATCTAAGCATAACCGGCATTTGGTGTTGGGGGGAAATAAGGAGGATGTTGTTCAACCTTAATCGTGAAGATGTACGGTCAAGCCCACTTACATTGCAGCTCAAAAGCACTCGAGCACTCAAGTGTTACAGCATGGAGCTTTATTAACAGGCAGCACGTGGCGCGGGGCAGCGAAGCCGCTTGGGCGGCAATAATTCCGTAGTGAGAGAGAGACAACCAAGCTGTACCAAAGATTTATTAATTAACGACTCAAGTTCGTATTGTGTCGGAGCCACTTATTACACCAGTAACAAATTGGCATGTTCTGTTTACGTAACAAACCTCACTAATTGGCTGTATCAGGTGGTGGCGGGTTTAACGACACATTTATATTTACGCGATCTAGCCCAAAAAACTCTATTATGGATACTATTGGTCGGGAAAACCTATGTGTTAAACCGAGGTAGCAACCATACAGTAGCTATCTTCCACCATGGCTCTGTAACCGTATAATAATAGTCTACCCAGTTTTCTCTTCACCACTTATAAGTGGTGTAGTGGTGGTGAAAAAAATCGATGTCACGGAGAGCCAGGCTTCAGTCGTATTAATGTGGAATTTGAACTTCTGGCTCAAGGCTGCCAATGGATATGACTGCTGCCTCACACTTGATTGAGAATGGAGGCATTTTAGGTGTTCACTATACAGTACTTGCCAAAGAGGTCCTTAGAAAACACAGTTTTAGATATATACAATGGGAGACAGTATGCAAGAGGAAACCCATTTCAGAACTAAATAGCAGCATTAGGGGAAAAAAGCAGCCTGATATCTCAAGTTAATATTGGCCCAAACGCAATACTGTACAAACATTGCAAAAGCAGGTATACAGTGTATGTCATTAAACATCATTATAATATTAAACACTTCAAAATGTAAACTGCTGTAAAGAAAATAGCCTATTGTTTTTATCATTTTGATACTAGTAAAAAGGTCCCATAAATATTTAGACAATATTGCTATATACATACCGTGCATGAATTTGCACTCTTCTAAATGTAATCAGTCGTACAACATTAACAAAGCATGTCAATTAAAATACATTTGCTGAATTAAAATACTGGAGTGTGGTCGACTCAGCACCATATTATGTAGTGACATAAGAAGGGAGGGGCTGCTGGGGGCTCTGGGTCCCTGGGCGGGCCAGGTGCTTAATCCCCTGGGCGCCAGGCGCTGGGTTCCCAGGGTGGTCCAGACGCTTAAGCCTCTGGGCGCCAGGCGTTGGGTTCCCAGGGGGTCCAGACGCTTAAGCCTCTGGGCGCCGCCAACGGGGGGGGGGGGGGGGGGGGCTGTGTGTGCTCTGTGGGATGTCTGGTGGCACACACGGCCCCACCCCTCGTTGGACCAGGCATAAAAGGAGAGCTCCCTGGACGATCGGGGCCCAGTTGTAACTCAAGACCCAAGACCCATGACCAGCCATCTGAAGACCCTGGGATGCTGTGAGAGCCAGCGCTGGTACTCTGGAACTCCCGACTCTACGACCTTGTGAGGGCGAGTTCCAGAGCGTAGCCAGAGTAGAGTATCTAGGCTGTGTACCTAGGCTGTGTACCTAGGCTGTAACAGAGTATCAGGACTGTTGGAGAGTTGGACTGTTGGAGTGTTGTATTGTAATAAAGAAGTTACCTCTACAAGTGTCTCCGGAATCCGTTACATTTGGCGTCAGAAGTGGCTATGGAGACAAGAAGTAAGCCACGTACCTTCAGTCCTGACGGCGATGAAGAAGAGCAGGCAGCGATGGGGCGGCCAACGCCGGCCGACAGCGACGCTGCACCGCCGGCCGACAACAACGCCGCATTGCCGGCTAAGCAGCTGTCTGCTCCGCCGACCGTCCCCTCTCCAGCGTCGGGAGCAGAGATGGAGGAGGCGCTGCTTCGCCTCGCAGAGCTGCTCTGCGCCACCGCCTCCCTCCTGGGCGAGATGCGGTGCTCGCGGCCGATGGCGGGAGGGAGAGAGGAGGCGCGGCGCTCGCCCGAGCCCGCCGCCGCCATTCCCCCCACGGATGTGAGGGATACTTCCGGGAATGACATCACTTCCACCGGAGGAGCAGTGACCACTGGGAGCGACGTCACTTCCGGGCCCAGCGTGGGTCAACCCGGAGACGCCGCGTCATCAGCGCTGCGTGAGCTGACCACTAGGGCCCCTAGGCCCCTGAGGCTTAAAGCGTGATCTGACCACTAGGGCCCCTGGGCCTCTCGGCACCTACAGTGTGAGGGTCCCTGGGCCCCTCCACGCTTAAAGCATGAGCTGACCGCTAGGGCCCCCGGGCCCCGCAGTGCTTACAATGTGAGGCTCCTCGGTGTTTAAAGCATGAGCTGACCACTAGGGCCCCCGGGCCCCTGGGTGCTCACAGTGTGAGTTGACCACTAGAGCTCCCAGGCCCCTCGGTGTATACATCAAGCGTAACACCTGGGCCCCTTGGTACATACAGTGCATGCTTAAAACGAGAGCCTCTCGGAGATTACAGTGCTTCTCTCTCAGACCATCACCAGGACTATGCCCCCTAGGGCTGGCTGACATGCCGTACTTACTCTGGTGCTAGAGAGAAGCTCCAGACGCACAGTTGCACTCCTGTAACAGTTGCGTAATCACCCTAGTGACACCATTTACGTCACTACACATGCAAACTGTTCTCCAGCAAGATCGGTGGCTTTAGTCAGGGGTTTAGTAGAGTGCAGAACACAGATCATGCATGCTTGCTTTGCACCAGCAGACAAAGGACAGTGGTATAGATGCAGATCTCATGCAGCAACTTGATGGGGAACGTAAATACTGGAGGGACATTTTGAAAAGAGTTGTTGCAGTGATCAAGTTCTTGGGTGATAGAAGACTCGCGTTTAGGGGATATTATGAACGGTTTCGGTCAACCCATAACGGTAATTTCCTTGGCATCCTAGAATTGCTATCACAATTTGACCCATTCTTAGCTGAACATATAAAAAAATTTTGCGGAAAAGGAAGAGGTACAGTGTCTTATTTGTCATCGACAATATGTGAAGAACTCATTGAGCTAATGGGCCAGGAAACTCGCCAAACAATAGCAGATGAGATTCGGGATGCCAAATATTTTTCTAAAATTGTTGACTCCACCCCAGACCTGTCGCATGTGGACCAATTTATGTTCATATTCCGGTTTGTAAACAGCAGCGGGAATGTGGTGGAGGTATTCCTGGGCTTTGAGCCAATTGAGAGCCACACTGGTAAAAGTTTAGCAGACTGTATGAAACTAGATTCGAAGCTTTCGTGACTGCAGTAATTACTCTTTGGTTATTTCGGTAAAGTCACGTAGAAATAAATTAAATAATGATCGAATACGACGTTTCCATTGCAACACAAGCAACCATCATCAGGTACATGATGTTGGTCGACTCTCTGTGTTGTATTGCATTATATTTCCAAGTTTACTATGTTTGTTTTCTCATTAATTTGCACCTGATGATGGTTGCTTGTGTTGCAATCAATACGTAGTATTCTATTATTATTAAATTTAATTTGTTTCTACGTGACAGACTGTATGACTTTGATGGCGGAGGGCCTTGGGTTGGACCTCTCAAACTGTAGAGGTTCGTTATATGACAATGCAAGAAATATGTCAGGAAAATACAAAGGGCTACAGGCCCACCTGAAACGAACAAAAAACCCTCTGATAGAATATGTGCCTTGCGCAGCGCATTCACTTAGTTGGTGTTAACACTTTAGACGGCAGTAGCCCAGAGGCTGACGAGTTTTTGTTTACATGTTGAAGTCATTGTACACATTTTGCTCTTCATCCACGCACAGATGGGGGAAAGTCTTTCGGAAGACAGATGTCAGACTGCCAATACCATCGCTGTCAAGCACTCGGTGGAGTGCTCGGGCAGAGTCAACCAAGGCACTGTGGAGAAATTACACCCACATTAGAGAGGCCTTCGGTGGTATGTGCAATGATGATGAGAAAATAGATACTCGAATTGAGGCCGCTGGACTATTTGCTAAATTGGACACCTTAGAGATGGTGTTCATGGAACATTTCTGGGACGTCATACTTTACCGGTTCCACGCTACAAGCATGCATCTACAGAAAAGTGACACTGATATCTCTGAAGCAGCACAGCTTTTGTCTTCGTTGAGGGATTTTGTGGCAGGACAGCGAGACCAGTTTGAGGCTTTTGAAAGGGCAGCCTTAAATGTGACAGGTGTCTCTCAGTCATATAATCAAGATCTTCAGCGAAATAGGAAACACAAAAATTTGCAGATGAGAGCTCCGAGCCAGGTGTGACACTTGAGGGGAGGGAGAAGTTCAAAATAGAAACATTTTATGTGGTCAGTGATGAGCTCGTGGCATGCCTTGAACATCGCTTGGACGTTTACAAGCGTTTGACCAGTCTCTTTGGAGTTATGTTTATGTCAGATCAGGTGTCTAACAGTGATTTCAGTGGAAAAGGTAAATGCACTCTCCACTGTATATCTGTCAGACCTGGACATGAACTTTGTCAACGAACTCATCCAATTCAAGTCTTTCATGTCTGACTCTAAGGGTGAGAAGTGCCCAACTAAATTGCTTGAGACGTTGCAGACATATAATCTGCAGTCAGTGTTCCCCAATGTTTTCGTGGCACTTCGGATTTTTCTAACTTTCCCAGTGACAAACTGCCAGGTTGAGCAGACATTTTCCCTTTTAGGCAGAATAAAAAATGAGCTGCGGAGTAGCATGTGCCATACACGTCTATGAGATCTTCACTCAAAACTGCTCTAGAGGAGTTGTACACCCCTAGCTGCCAGTGCTATTCAGTGACCTAAAATAAAATGTTTCGCTCCGGATGATCGCTACAAAGTATGACCTGTGTTTTGATTTAGTGTGCTGATCTTAAAGGTGCATTGAAAAATTACAATACTCCGATTGATGCTCCTGCTGTTGTGGAGTGACTCATGCAGCCAGCTATGGCTGCAGGGTTTTGGTAGTACATGTTGTTTATGCCATTTATTGTGAAAATTCCGTCACAGTTCCTATGATTGCTTTTTCATTGCTTTCATGGCTTTATTTTGGTGATTTCGAAAAGTGTATTGGTTTAGCCATGTTTGTTTGTTGTAGTACAGAGTTAGACTGATGGCCTTAATCTAAGCTGTCTTGTGGTTGTTGTTGTTGTTTGACTTGCATCCCACTGAGATTTTTGCACACAGCGTTGGTGTACGGTGTTTTTTCTGCAATATTTTTGCTGTCTTTTCTTGAATTTTCTGTTTGCACTTAGTCACATATTCACTTTAATATGTTTTTTGTTCATGTTTTTGTTTTTTGTTTGTTGCGGTTGCACCCGATTCAAGAGCTGAATGGCTCACAGGGCTATACCTAATAAATGAACTTGAACTTGAACGTCTCAATTCATTGTCACTTATGTCAGTAGAGTCAGACCGTGTCAGACAGCTAGATTTTGACGAACTAGTGGATAACTTTGCGAGGAGGAAGGCAAGAAAGACACCAATATAGGAAAGCGGGAGCCTCCAAAAGACATGTGCCCAGGGGCCTCACAGGACCATGATCCGGCCCTGCCCACGACCTCCTGCCTACCAGGCGAGGTAGTTAACATCTCGTCACAGTGGCACGCCTCACGGTGGCGAGAAGTTCAACATACATGCAAAGCTTAAAGTGTAAAGCTTATCATCACATCCTGGAACACTGAGCAACCAGAATGTCGTGGCTACTGAAGGGGTGGGGAGGTTGAGGGCTCATGGGGGACAGGGGTAGGGGGGATTAGCCTTACGTCGTGACGTCACCGCACACTACCACGCTCCTATTGGTGGACGGTGCGGGATGACGTCATCACGCAGCCACGCGCGTGACGTCACGCGTATGTCGATGAGGAACTTCTGGCCCCACGAACCCGCCCGTTTTGTTTTCCTCTCGCAGCTGTTGTCGGGCTTCTTCATTCGCCGAATAGGTAAAGGCGAAGCTCCGTGTCTCACCTCGTCAATGTTTCTGTTCTCACGTCCTTGTTTTTTTTACCAGACAGCAACATCTGCAGCGGCGGTTATCGCGCGGCAATGTGGAAGTCGCCACTCTGCCCCCTGTGGGCAACGGAGGAGGCGGCTGGGTCGTGTGGACGGTAGATGATGATGATGAGGATCGATGCCTGTGCTGCCAGAGGCGTAGCTAGGATATTTTGCGCCCGGGGACAAACTATAAAATTGGCGCCCCCCGCCCCCCCCCCCCCCCCCGTTTAATCACATTTTCCTATTACATCGAATAAGGAATAACAATTTAAATTTAAATGAAACATTGTATTTAAAGAAGCAAATTTAAAGAAATTATATTACATGGCTCACTCAGTCACTGTCGTAGACTGGTTGACATAGTCTACAAAAGATACATTTTTCTTGATTTCACTGTCGCAAACTGGTCAATCACGTAATCAAAATCTGTTTTTTCCAATGTTTCTCTTTCAACGCTAAGAAGAGCAAGATCGCTGAGACGATCTTGTCCCATTGAAGTTTTAGGTTGAGGTGTAGATTTGTGCAGTAGTTTCAGGCTGCCGCGCCCGCCGCAATAACTTATAATGTCACGTTGTAAGCCTCATTTTGGTGCCCCTTTACCTTGGCGCCCGGGGACACGTGTACCACCCTGCCCCCCCCCCCTAGCTACGCCTCTGTGTGCTGCTGCGTATTATAATTCGCCTGTACGGAATCTCCGATAAAAACAGATTTGTGACAAGTCGTGACCAATATACATAATAGAGGGGGTTTTGTTTGGGGTTCGATCGCGTAAATATTTAAAGACCGAAACTGGCAGGAGTTCTGCATAATTATGGCTATCGCTTGATGATGTTACGGTACTCAAATTGTAAATGCTGTGGGTTTACTCTCCAACATAACCGGTGTGCTGTACTGGTAACGAATTGGCATGTTGAGTTTACGTGACAAAACCTCACTAATTGGCTGCGTCGGGTGGTGGTGGCAGGTTTAACGACACATTTATATTTACGCGATCTTATTTAACAAAAAAACCTCCTCTGTTGGCCTTCATTGTAGAGGGTGTGTGGCCTATTCCACGATGGCCCCACGCGACGTGCCCATTGACTCGCCGTGTATGTACAGTATGTTGAATTTCTTTCGCACGGTACGTAGCCAACCGTGTTAATCGGAGGTGCGGTGTTGTCCCCATGTGTGCTTCTGGATTTGTATAGGCGGTGGGAGAGGCGTTTATACTGGACATACAGTGGAAAAAAGCTTGAAAGCTCATGATTCCATCAGTGTAAATACGTATTCAAATTTTGTTTAAGAAATTTGCACCATTGTTACAGCTGCCGAAGTGGTACATGGCATCGTACCAGTGACCTCTGGATTGCAAGTCTGCTGTGCGCAACGTTCCACCACAGTAGTATTCCTCGCCTCCAATCTGTAACGTTAAAGAACTTCTCTTACAAGATAAATAACAATGTACACTTCTGAAGCGTCGTGGCATGCACACTTGTGCAAGGGTCAAGGATAAACCGGACCTAATGTTTCATGGAATATTTTCTAGCCCCCCCCCCAAACCCCTAGCTTCTCAGACCCTGCGGGGAAACATTTTCTGAAGCATGGTCCCAGAAAACTCCAGCTGAAATTCAGCCCCGAGAACTCTACAATTGAACACACTGCACTACAAAACCGGTGAGATAAATTCGATTCCTGCCACGGGTATGATCAGTCGAGTGATTATCTGTCCTGACCGCCCCCCAGCTCTGCCCCCCCACGAATGGAGTGCCACCCAGTTCTCAAATTAACAGGACACACACTTTGACTAAATTGACCTTCCCCCATCTCTCCTGTTGTCACTGTTGTTCCAGTCGTGACAAACAGACAGACCCAGGAAGGCAAGCAATATCAGTGCCCTCAGAACGGTGGCTTTGTACGTGAGCAACAGCTCGTCATTGTCGTCGTCGTCGCTCCTGTCGCCTGTGCACTGCAAACCTCATGCAGACAAACTCATCAGCACTGCCCTGGTGCGCTCAGGCATTGCGCCAGGGTCAGGAGCAGCGTCATGCTTTGGACACTGAGAAGGATGAGTCGGTGTCTCTGGAGAGCAAGAAGCAGAACTTGATGCAACACCTGCAGTGCCTGAAGACGAGCAGCATCGATTTAGACAATCTTAACGGGATTTACTTGGCCGTGGATACATACGCCACTCTGGAGGAGCGGCAGCAGTTGTCAGAAGTGCTCATGCAGGAAGGTGGGGCAGAGATAATTATGAGGGTGCTGTTGTACCTCTCGTCCAAGGGAACACACATCCCTGACTCCAGCCTCCGTCGCATGGAAATGGCCTTGTGGATTCTGCAACGGTATACGTGTGTCCACGCACCGATCAGACGGCGTCTGGTAGAATGTGGTGCGGTCAAGTACCTGATGAAGCTGTTGAAACAATTGCGGCTAGAAGCAAGATCCACCAACGCAGACATGAGGTACATAGTCCGATCTACACTGGGTACGCTTGCGAACATCTGCCTGAACCTGGAGTTTAAGACGTGCTTCCGACAGGAGAATGCTATGGATGAGATAGTCGCTTACACCAAGCAAGGCGACAACGTGTGTAAGTTGGACAGCCTTGCGGTACTGTCACGTATAACCAACGAAGATGAGGTGTATCTGATCAGTGAATCTATTGGTGCTATAAACGTTCTGGTGGAGGTACTGAACATTCCCACTTATAATGACTACACACGCTTTGAGGGAAAGGTTTTCTACACTCATAAGCTGTTCGCGAATTTTACATGCATATGCATAGCAGGGGGTGTTCATAAGAAAACGATAGAAGCTTCAGCACTTTCAGGACAGAGTCTGAAAATAGTAGCAGATGAGCAGGAGGAATCATCTGATCCGTAGCATTTTAGCACATGATTTAATGGGCTGGACAAAATGTAGTGAGTGCATTTTTATAAATCACAATCTACAGCGGGCACTTCATGAAGGTGTCTGCACATTCCTAAAATATTTTGAAAATTCTCTCACCCAAATTTGCCTGCCTGACCATATTAGAAAAAGGTCCACTGTGATAGAATATGGTGATTACAATGACGTTTGAATGATATGGTTATTCAATTGTCAGAATGGTTCCAACAGTGCTGGCACATGGAGATTTTATTAAATGCGCTATATAAGCTGTAAATAGCCACATCTATCTGGTCAAACAGAAGCTGCTTGGGCATGTGGTGGCTGGGCTACATGACACAGTCAACGCCTCACTTGCTGGAGCTCATTGAAGGGACTGTCCAGGTCTTTCAATGATCTGTCAGCTCCTCACACAATCCACTCTGATTAAACCCAGGGATGATCGGAGGCAAGCTAGCCTGAATGTTTCAAACTGGCGCAGATGTTCCTTTATAGGGCTGCACATTTAGCAAGCATATAGAAGGGAGCGCATTACTGTGGCCAAGAAGAGCCGAAGTTTTGTTTGGAGGGACAGGCCAGGTAGCTTGCACACAGCATTATGCAGCGAATGAAAAGGTAATGCATGCCGCTCGACTGATTCGGAGTTAGACCTCGGCTACCAAACCGAAGCTGGTCATAAGCACAGTGCCCAAGTACTCCACTGTCCACACAACTGCCCCGTCAATCATGGGGAGTTGACCATTGGGCAATATATTTCCGAACACAGTAGCAGTTCTTTAGTAATATCTTTAGTAATATTGATATCTTTATATTTTTCATGCATTTTTATGACCTTATTCCAATTTTCCTTTTTTGCATATACAGTTTAGTATATACAGTCTAGTATATACTGCATCGTCTTTAGTGCTTAAAGTTGTTTGCCATACCATTTTCGCACATGTTTTTGACAAATGCTCATTTGAACCTCTGGCAGGGGTTTTTCTTTGCATGTAAGTGTTGCTTAATGAAATATGCCAACTAAACATGGCTCACTAATTTACAAAAATGCATTTACTCTATTAACTTAAGGTATTTTAATTTTACGGCTGTGAAATATTTCACTCCGGTTGGTAATTTTTTGGGAAAACAGTATTTATAAAATAAGAAAGTATAATCTGTGGGACTATTTACAGCCGTTGCTTTCTGCAGGAGCACAGGAGATCAACAGCTGAAGGAGCTCGTTACATTATCCATGTGAGAGAGACACAAGGCAATGATACTCCAGGCCAGATCGATACCCATTGTTTCAAGTGGTGACTTCTGCGCACTATCATCGCCGTACAGAAAACTCACCTTGGCCACATTTAGGGTGATGTTCTGTAATTCAACATGTGCACGAGTTGTAGGCAACAGAATAACGGCTTAGCACGAGTTGTGAGTCAAGCTTCTGACAAAGATGAAATTAATTGTACAATACTGTGAATGTGTCTTGACTGTGAAAATCATTTTGGCATAAGTTTTGAAACGTAACTGTCCCCAGCGAGTTTGAGTGTGTCCCGGTGAGCTAACTTTCAGTTTGTTGCTGGGTTCACTATTTACTATTTTATCAATAAGTACATTATCATATTTGCTCAAATGTTGAATACTGTATTGTGTATTAGGTTGTACTGCTTTATTCAAATAAAATGAAAATACTTTCATTTAATTGTTCTTAATGTGCTCTGCTAAATATTTTTACACCTTCAACGAACGTGAAAGAATAAAAAAGTGGACCATGCTATTTACGGTTACACCGGTGGTGAGTGGTAGCTGAACTGGTCCTGGCCCTCAAGCGTGATGGTGGTGTAGGGGTCCAACAACACCATCTAAAAATGCACTAACAAAGGGCTATTAAGTGTATTCGTTTTCATCGTATTTAAAAAAAAAATTTACTCTAAAATAAGTTTAATACTTCACAGTATGTGCAGTAACCATAGTGTGATTAGGTTAGTGGACTGATTTACGTAGGTTACTACCGATTAGCACGGTCGGCTACGTACGGTGTGAAAGAAGTTCAACATACATATACTCTACCTAATTGTAGTAATCCACACCATATATCCGTGTCTCTACTTCGGCGTGAAGAAAGTGAGCTTCATCACCTCTGGTGCCCCTGTTAGACCATTTGCTTCACAATTGGAATGCAACTTTGATTCCCGGTTGGGATCTTTGTAGCTCATCAACATAAGGTCAATCATGCAGGTACTACGTTTTGGGAAGTCAACAGTGGTTGTCCTTTAAGGAATATTCCCCATAATAGGAATATGGAATTTCTACCATTGTCTGAGGGCTCTTAAAGATGGGCACTGCTCCAGACTAATTTGAGATAGAGCAGAATTCTCTTTTATCCACGATTATTTTACTCACTACATTAGCCAGTTCTGTTATAACGCGTGCTTTATCACGCGGTTGCGAATTTGATAGAACGCTATTGAGTTAATGGAACTACGTTACGCAAGTAGGAATACGCAGATGCTTCTAGATGCTACCCACGCGCCTTAGTCTTTGTTCAGCCTGCTACGCTTCTCACGTGTTATCGCAGACTGCTTCGCCTGTTATCATCAATCATTCTACATAACAGGGAAATTTGTGAATGTGTCTGTTAAAAATGTTTAACGTACTTCCCGACATGCAACAAACTTGAAATTTGGTATGTGGGTACTTTCCAGACTGTACACCATGCAACATTTTTAAAAATAGACTTTTGTATATTTTTTTTTGGGGGGGGGGGGGCGCAATGCATATATTTTGCACGGCAAGTGAGCTATGACGTCACATTTCTGTCATGTCACCCGCATACGGCATCGACTCAGTGTGCCTGCTGACACCCCCGCCCCAACCCTCCGCGAGTCAAGTGCCATACAAATGTGTTGCAGGTGTAAGGCGTTCTTCGGGCAGCATTGCTTTATTATTTGAGTCGTTTACTGCCGTACGCACCCGGAAAGTTGTGTCTGCTGCAAGCGCGTGTATGTGTACCTATGGACGCGCGCATGTCTGTGTGGGAGGAGCGGTAGTGTAGTGGTTAGCGTGCTGCGCTACGAACCCGGCGACCCAAGTTTGATTCCCGCTCATGGCCACCACCGGTGACGATTATTTAAACCGGTCCTGGGCCTCCCCTAGGTCGACTCAGCTTCAAACGAGTAACTCGTGTAGTGTGTGGACATCTCCACTGGGGGGACAAAGGCGGCCGGGCGTGGTGAATCCAAGTCCCAGGCGAAGCCGTGTAGTAAAACTAGTTTAATATAAAGCGATTTTTTCCATAACGCGGTGTTCTTCAGGAACGCAACTACCACGTTATAGAACAGACTATCTGCTGGGACTGTAGAATCTGCAATAACTCCTACTCGTAGCTCAATTATTCCTCGTATCCACAAATATCTGCAGTTTTTTCCCCGTGGATATGTGGAGTCAATTCACAGGATTACCCTTTGCTGATCATAGCATCTTCCTCCACATCACCACAAAAAGTTTGACTGTGTTTTTTATGGCATGGCCATGTACCCCTGACAAAAAAACCTGTTCTATAAAATGTGGGCAGATTAGAATCTGCCCTTCAATTGTTTGCATTCTGTCCGCGCGTTTCGTGCCAAGAGTGAACTACAAGCAACACCACGCAAAGACAGATGAAAATGTGTAAGGGGACTACATTTTTTTAAATTTAATTTTCAATGCAAGGTGAACACTAGCTGATGCACAGAGGCACACCAACGTGTGCAGTTCCATGGAGCAAATTGGACAACATCACGCAGCAAAAGGATCATGTTCGTAGACTGCTCTCATCAATCGGGCATGTCTATGAGTGAAAAAGCAAAACGACATTAAACAACACTCGTTTTCATCGTTACAAGCTAACTGTACAATCACATCTAATGTCTATTATTTTTTCTCGCGCACTACATCTTGATCGCCAACAAGAAGCTCAACAGAGCCCTTTCTATGGCCTCAGCTGCTCACGCATTAGCACCATTCATCAGTGTCTCATTAAGCTGTTGTGAAACAAAAGAATACAACACACGTCATGTAATTAAAGTACAAAACTAATTTCTACAAGATTACAAGTTCATTTTTAAAACTGCTATCTTGTCCTGCACACGTTGTTAAGGTAAGCAGTTGCTGTAAACTGACGGTTATGTGCAACATGCTGCCCTGTCATGCAAACACCTGCATAGTAAACAGCAACTATTATTAAGCCAAGGATCGAGATCTTGGTGAATTTGAAATATAACACTTTTGTATAAATAAAAAAGAGCTTAATTACTTTTAGCATATTCACAATGTAGGTACAGGAACTTGTCTACTTACGAACATTCGACTTACAAACTTACAGAGATACGAACAAACCTGTCCGTATGTCCAGTTGTCTGTTCGGATCGAGAGTTGTAAGTTTAACTGCCGCGCAACAGATGATGGTGGTGGCATCTACATATGCAGAACATTACGAACCAGGGGAATCTACATCTACAGGAGATTATAATTGTTTTAAAGTAATTCCCCGTGTCTTGTGTACATGCCGTGCAACATGTTTGCAATTAACAAGAGTAAAGTTGGATTTACGAACACATCGACCGACGAACAGACCTCTGCAACCTAACTCGTTCGTAAGTAGAGGAGTGCATGTACACGAAATTTATGTAAACCATTTGAAAGCCTTTTGTGACAGCGTACTGTTTTGTTTTCCGAGGATATCTTGACGTAGTAAAGTAATGTAATTTCAAATTAAATTTGGTCATTAATGCCACATTGTCCATACTTTATATGAATAATATACAGACCTCCAATAAAGTAAACCATAATTGATATGGGGGGCATATCGCAGATCCTGTCATCTGCGGATATTCGTTCCATAAACCGCGAAAAAGGTGCAGATTACATTTCCGTTAAAAATATTCAATTTATAATTTTAAAAAAGTCCGGTATAAAACAAACAAAATTATTATTTCCTTCATTCAGACCTTGATCCTGGCTTTTCATGTAAAGTTTCCCAAATGTGACCCCGATTGAGTTATCGGTGTCGTGTCACGAAATGAAGAGCAGTTGTTGCCACCCTTCGTGTTTGAGAATGGTTCACTGAAGCGGGGTATCACAGAGCTACTACCCTCTTGAGATCCCTGCAAGTGACCGCTGGTCCATACAACAGGGTGCAGAACTTTCCCACCCGCCTCTGCATATGAGAGTGGGTGGGGTTCGTCGAATGACAGTGAATCAAATATTGTTTTTTTCCTCGGAGCAGGAACTTGTCCAAATCCGAGTGCAGAACCAATTTTTTATGCTATGTTTTCTCTTTGTGCAGTCATTATTGACCGGGATGAGACAATTAACTCACTACGGCTTGAGAACTCAGTTTAATCAACATGGGCAACTGCCTGGATTCGAATCGAGGACCTCAGCTATACCAGCTCAGTGCTCCGACTTCTGAGCCATCCGGCCACTCCCTTGATTCTCTGGCATTAATATTAACGGACAAGACAGACTTAGGCAGTTCAATGTAATGCTACAATGTCCACTTAAAATTATCTGTGGTACTGTATTACCATACGTAATTTTAATGTCTAACATTAATACAAAATATTACATAGTACCGAATTTGCTTTAAAATACTGAACACTTAACAGCGTATGAACAGGCATGTACAACTACACGTGTAAATACCGCTATAAAGAAGGGGGAGTTAACAGTGTTACAGTTTAATACGTGACTCTTACCAACTACTCGACGAACTACTCTACTTTGTTATCCCCCTCCAATAGAATAATAACGACAGTTAGAAATCGGGTTAAAACATCGATACGTTCTTATACAAAATACTGCTTTTTAAAATTGTAAAAATACTATTTGCTTAAGATGACGCGAGTGCTGTTGTGTTGCAGGAGCGGAGTGTTTAGAAGCAGCAAGTGAATCTCTTGAGTGGAGCAGTGGTGATAACCAGGCCAGGGGTTTGGAATCTGCAGGATAATTCCACCAATGGCTACGTATGCAGTGCTACAATCGCCATTGATCACACCACCTTTGAAACACTACAGGAACGTCTCGCTTTAAAAGTTGAAGGGAAACAATTGTGAAAAGCATGGGCGTGCAAGCATTTACTGGACAGCATGTGTAAATAATTCCTGACATTGTCTCTGCATGCGGCTGTGGTCGTTTCAGTTTACCGAGTTTCATCGCTAAATCAAAGTATGGGTTGACCTTTAATGCGAACGTTTTGGGGATATTCTGTCCACATTTTGGCTGGCATCTCTCCTCTGAATGAATGCGCTTTCTCGGGTGGTGAAACGTCTCAGCGCAGACACCATTCACACTACTGGCAGCTGTCGATGTGCGGTACAATATGACTCAACGCCTGGCTCGGCGATGGCCATTTGTTTGCCAGTAGGGGAGTGGGGGGGGGGTTGTTACTTTTTAAGAGTAATTTTTCAAATTGGGCAAATTTGAACCGGGGTTGACATTGCATATTTCATAGTTATGTGGGGGAGGGGGGGGGGACCAGGATAACCCAGAAGCAGTGGCGGCTCCTGCAAAATCTCTCAGGGGGGGCAAATGTCTGGATGATTGATAAGGATAAGGTCCACCCATGTAATGGATAAATTAACAGCTTAAGCATGTAAAGGCAACTTCACTACTTTAATATTAATGAAAAATAAAGTGACTCTTACAATACATCTTGTTTGTTTATATACTCACTATTAAAACAAACCACTCAAGTTTATTTTATTAAAGACTCCACTAGGTAGCGATAAATTATATTGTTGGATGAAACGTGCTTACGTATGATGACAGTAAGCACGTATGATGACGTAAGCACGTTGGGGCTTGCCCTCCCGGAGCCATAGAGAATGCATGGGAGCGCCCCCGTTCGAAAAAAAACATCTTTCAATGTAAGTCTATGGGACCACTCGGGGCGATTCTCAGCCGTAGTGAAATCGCCCCAAAAGAGGCGGTACTCCACAGAACGTGACATGACGCTGATTGGACTATATCCAGAGGCTGCAGTGACGGCTAGCGTGACTGTGGTTGAATGACATTGGTGGTGCGTCGCCCAATCGCCCTAATGAAGAAACCGCCCCTGCCCAGAAGTAACCCGTGCAGAACAGGGGAAGAACATACAAACCCCACACACAGAGGCGCCCAAGTCAGGAATGGATGCCCGGGGATCATTTTGAAAGTGGATAAAGTATTTGATTTTGCTGATGTGTGATCTAATGTCTTCTAGTGATCTAATGTCTTTCACCTCGGCGTGCATCGTGCTAGACAGGTAACAAGTTGCCCCTACAGTGAGTTAATGCATTGTCACGATCTTGATTAATAATTTGATCACGAATTCACTTTTTTATTTTCAAATTTTAATGTCTCTTTATTGTTTCTCGGTTTTTTTAGGTCTCACTTGTGTTGTTTGGTCTGCCCAAATTAACCGAATTGTAATATCAGCATATCGTTGGCATATAATTTTGTGGAATTGTAAATACAGTGAGCATATTTTTTGGGTCTTTCGGTAAAGTCACGTAGATAGGTTCAAAAAAAATAACAAAAAAAACTACGACCGCTTGTGTTGTGATCGAAACGTCGTGGTTTTTTTTTATTTGAACCTATCTATGTGACTTTACCGAAAACCCCAAAGAATATGAATTCCTGCAGTCACGAAAGCTTTAAGTCAAAAGAAGGCATAATTGCTTGTTACCAACGCAATTCGATGTGCATATCGCGATAAGAGTTGATTTTAATCAATGAATTGGTGCATTGCTCCACGCCTACATTTTGTACAACCACCAGCAGGAAGTTGTTTCACTTCCTGTTAATCGACAAAACAAGTATTTGGCATGAGGGTATGTTTCTTAGCTACACAAATACTACTCACGTTTTGTTTATGTACTATTTATACCTCCAACAAAGGCTAGAATACAAAGACGAGAGGTGTATGGAATGTGTAGCAGTTCGTAATGTATGTTATTTGGTTCGATACAAAGTACTACTGTATTAGCTTTTGCACCAGGGAAAACATTTAAGTTCAGTTATGCATAGCCTCATTTGCAAGTTAGATGGGGTTTTTTTGTTACACACCATATCAGCACATTACGGATTGTTTTTAAACCACCACTGGGAGACTGACGATGACACTCGCCGTACCTTGAACCGTTGATGAGCAGTCAGGGGTCTTTCAGCCGAAAAAATACCACTTTTGCAATCTCTACTTTTGTTGTACCTTTGACAACCGTACTACACACGTAACAAGCTTAACCACTAACATACAAGTCATACGTAAGCCATCAATCGGGAATATAATTAAAATGTACGAATATTATTTAAAGTAAAATAACCTCATGATGCAAATAGTTCAAGAATATAAGGCATCAAACAACTCCGTTTTTACGTGTTTGAAATTAGTTTATATTTACAAAATTGGGGTCCGTGCAAAACTATAGCGCCTAAACTAGGAATACACTGACGACGAGCTAACGTACAGAGCATATGGCCCCTGCTAGAATAAAATGAGGTTTCCACCATAGGTTTAGTGAAAAACGCTTAAAACAAGTAAAAAAATACCGTACACGGTATTATGATTGTGCTCGCCATGGTAACAACATGACCCATGAGCATCCTGCACGCGAGATGTGGCTCCATCTGGTGTCCTTCGAGTTGTCGATTTCCTCTCCACTGTGCTCCAGATAAAGATCACCCAACTATTCTACTTAAGGGTCTACATTTTCAAACAAAATAAATCCAACATTTTACAAAATTACTACTGAAGTCTGACGTCTATACTTCTTAGCTGCACATTCAGTATTTATTACACGATTTGTTGTTCAAATCCATGCAACCGTGGCTCCATGTTACCGGTAGCAAAAGTGAGATTCTGGTTTTAGGAAAAAGCCTGATGTGTCTGCCGTGTGATATACACTGCTCACACAGCATTATGGCTAAATGAGGTCACCTGGATTGGTCAGCCACTTGTGGTACGTGTGATCAGTATGAAGCTCAGTTCAAATATCAGGCGTAGCCCGGTAACTCGATTTACGCCGACTAGTTATTACGTTCATAAATTAACACTTTTTTCTAATTACGTCTCGTTTGTTCTAAATTGTATTGTTTTGTTGGGGGGGAAAATCAAAACACCTGCAGTAAATTCACGTCTGCATTTTATACGGCTCCAGGCCATATGCCTGGCTGCCACGTTGCATAGCCTCGCCACTCGTTTACAAACCAAGCCGTGAAGTTCAAAACTAAATATACGTTCCACCACGCTTCGGCCTGTACTTACCGTATGTACTGTGCATACTATACATATTGTAGGTACGTCCTCACGGGGGGGGAGGGGGGCAGCTGCGCGCACTGCCCCATCCTCACCTTTCCAGTTACCCCTCCCCCCACATCCTCAACATCTCACATTGTCTGTCTACTTATTATTCTCCATATGTATGCATGACAATATCTTGTTTGTGCTGGAAAGTGTTATTTTAGTCGGTTTTGGGTCAAAAATATTTTCTTAGGAACGCATCTTCGTTTAGATAATGGGACCTTATGGGAATATACGTTTCGATACAGTGCGATGTTTCACTTTACGTTCAAGTTTCCAAAAACGCAACCCTAACGTTTATCGAGATACGTCTGTATCATGATTTTAGTTTTTTTTTTTACAGCCAAAAGCTAGTAACCTCAATCACGCTACAGCAGAGGGAGCAAACACCAATCCTGTGATGTCATCTTTTGCTATGAGAGCATGGCAGAGGGCAGTGAATCTACCTGATATGGCAACACAATCGCCGCCATTGTTGTTGCCAGAACTAGTAGCACATGACACCACGACAGTGCGACAGCAAAGCGGCAATACATTTATCGTTTTGTACGAACTGCAGAGTGACAATGGTGCGATGCTGGAGATGACAATCTCCCTCTCGTAGCGTCGGGGAAAATTGTTACACGTGGACCAGGCTTAACACACGGCAGACATAAATCTTGGCAACAAACCAGAGTCGCACCCTGGCTGCATCGAGCTGCCTGGATGCCGGCCAAATGCCTACAGCTTGACGACAGTAGGGGCGATCATCTGCGCGTGAGAGTAGTATCTGCAGTCGGCAGGTGGAACCAAGTCCATGACCTCGGTGCTGATGTTTTCCCGCTTGAACTTGGCCTCCTCGAGTCGAGGCAGCTGTGTCTCCTGCGTGGACACAGGGAGCAGCAGTGGGTTGGCAAAAGGGGCCCGTAAATTGTTTTCATTATCGAAGGCATGGGACACAGCGTTTGTTGCTAGTACGTATCACTAATTATCAGTAGACATGTTACAACAAACAAAGGTTATACAGCAAAGTACACCAGCGGGTATGTAATAAAGACATGTGTTAGTGCAATGAGAAGATTTTCTTGCACCGGGCTAGTATTGCAGAAGGATAAGGTATTAGGGTAAAGTATTACAACGGACATGTGTAACCGCAGATACGAGTGTAGCGCTTACTGTTGTACAGCATCTGCAACTGCAGGTGGGCACTTAGTGCACACGCCATTGAGCATATACATGGGTGTGCCGGCAGGGCAGAGGAACAGGGGCAAGGATCACGGTCGATCTCGTGGGGAAGCCCCTGGAACCCTCTGGTGGGTTCGAGAAGGGAGGCACGGCTAGAGCGGAGCCAAGCAACGCCGAGGGGAATATAAGCAGCAGAGCGTGAGAGCTCCAGGCTGCCGGTTCTAGGAGTGGACTCATCGCGTCGTCGCTGTCGTCGTCGCCGCCTTCTTTGCTGCCGCTTTGACCGATCATTGCGCGGCCAGACAGTAGTTGGCTGTCTCGGTCGATGCCGTCGGTGCAACGTGGACAGGGTCGCATCTGGGCCGGGTCGTGCGGCAGCATGGACGTGAGAGAGAGGGGACCGGAGTTGGTGGTGTGAACACATCAATAAAAGGGGAGGACGGTGCCTCCTGTGACCACCTCATCTCCGACTGAGTGTGTGTGTGATGCATGCCACCCGCACACACACACAAGCCTTGAGCAGAAGGAAGAGGAGACCTACAACACTACATTTGGTGTCAGAAGTAGGGTATTAATAAACCCACCTGTAGTGTCATCGGGACGAGGACGGCGAGACAGTCATCCCTCCAACAGCCCCGGGACTCGGGATCCCAGTTACGAAGCCCGTGGGCTGTTGGGCAGCGGAGGAGCTGCCGCGGATTGGCGGGACAGCTGCTACGCAAAATTTGCGGGGTGAGCGGCTACGCATCCGCGAGGGGAGAGTGGCTGGGCATCAACGGCGGGAGCGGCTACGCAAGGAGGCGGGAGCGACTACGCATCGTTAGAGAGGGAGCGGCTGGGCGTCGACGGAGCTAGCGGCTACGCGAGGAGGTGGGAGCATTTCGATTTAAAGCTTTCGTGACTGCAGGGATTCATCTTCTTGGTTCTTTCGGTAAAGTCACGTAGAAGGGAAATAATAAAATAATAAAAATAAAACATAATAAAATATTTCTCAGGACGTTTTGGCCACAACACAAGAAGCCGTCCTCAGGTGAAGACCAGGTCTGTCGAGGTGACAGCATCTAAATGAAACACCACCACGCTTGGAGCGTCTATTTAAGCTTATTTAAGCTTAAATAGACGCTCCAAGCTTATTTAAGCTTAAATAGACGCTCCAAGCTTATTTAAGCTTAAATAGACGCTCCAAGCGTGGTGGTGTTTCATTTAGACGCTGTCGCCTCGACAGACCTGGTCTTCACCTCAGGATGGCTGCTTGTGCTGTGGCCGAAACGTCGTGAGAATTATTTTATTATGTTTTATTTTTATTATTTTATTACTTCCCTTCTACGTGACTTTACCGAAAGAACCAAGAACAGGTGGGAGCAGCTATGCGTCAACGGCGGGAGTGGCCGAGCGTCGACGGCGGGAGTGGCTACGCCAGGTGGCGGGAGTGGCTGCGCGTCGATGTAGAGAGAGGCTGCACATCGACGGAGAGAGAGGCTGCACGTCGCGGGAGGGGGAGCAGTTGCACGGCGACGGAGAGAGCGGGGGCTGCACGTCGACGGAGAGAGCGGTTGCACGGCGACGGAGAGAGCGGTTGCACGGCGATGGAGAGAGCGGGGGCTGCACGTTGACGGAGAGAGCGGCTGAGACTTTCCCATGGTCACACACCGACCAAGCAGCATGGCGGAGGACCGCCATGTGGAGAGGGGTGCGGGCTGGAAAAACCAAGCGGGAGCTTCCATCGAAGCGGGAGCAATGGGCTCCGGACGGGGGACCGCGCACATGGTAGGCACCATTTTGACGCCGGAGGACCTCCCATGGCTGGCGGATGCAATTTTGAGGCGAACGCAGGAGCGCACGGAGATGGTGCGAAGAGTGACGGAGCTGCAAGAAGCTGCTCCTGATCTGGCATGGGAGGTTCGCGCAAGATTCATCCAGAGGAAACGGATGGAGGACGAGATGCCCTACGCCTTCCAGGCAGTGCCGCTGGCGCTGGGACGTGAGGCACACTCATTTTTTGGTGAGGGGGCATCGACCTTCGAGTGGTGGAGAGGCTGCAGGAGCTGGCAAGAAAACTGAGGGTTGCCTTGCCCTCTGCCGTCAGCACAGAAATTTAATCCTCAACGGTGGCCAGGAAGATACAGGTCTTCGAGGAGATACAGCAGTTGGCAAGGTGGGAGGCCGCGACATGGAACCTGCAAGATATAGTGGCAGCGGGGGGGGCCAGGGGGCTCAAACAAGAACATCCCCATGGGAGGACCCGCAACGGGGACAGCTCCCACGGCCCTGGGGACCCACGCCCAAGTGCTTCATCTGTGGTCAGTCTGGCCACACTGCTTCGGAGTGTCCAGGGGACAAGTGACCACCTGCAAAGTCACCCGCGCTCGCTGGCCCGCCGGCATAGTCAACTCAAAGCCCCAGCGGACCGGGTCTCTGAGGCCTACCGAGATCGCCAAGTGCGAGGTCTCGGGGACCAGATTCCAAGCAGGCGCTGCCGAGCGGTCAGGGGCCACGCCCTTTGAGCCGAGGACTCCGTCTCCATCGTCTCTTGGCCCTCTGGGTTCCGGAGGTGCAGGACCCCACTGAGACGGGGGTGACCGACATCATGGACTGGATCACGTGAGCTATGTCCCGGTATGGGGGGACTCTCCCTTGCACTGAGAGGAGATCTGAGGGTGAGGGGGTGTTGGGTCTAAGGGCCTGGGTTAAAGGGAAATTGAGGACGTGTGTCGGTTGCGGGGGGGGGGGGGGTGCCGCGTTGTGTGGGGAGTGTTGCCGATTCGCGGATGGGGGGCCCCTGTGGAAGTGTCGCCAATTCGCGGATGGGGGACCTGTGGGAGAGTTGCTGATTCATGGACGGGGGGGGGCGTTACATTGGGGTGAGTGTTGGTTTGTTATCGGGGGGGCACCGGCGAATAGTAAGATGTCTTGTTGATTGCGGGGGATGCCGCGGTTGTAACGGGATTGTGGGGAAGGACGTGGAGATTGCGCATTTAACAAAATGAAGCAAAACAGACAATGGACACGAAGGACTCGAAAATGGAGAAATTGCTAACGTAGATATAAAAATAATAAAAAAATCACGACGTTTCAATCGCAACACAAGCAATCGTCATCAGGTGAAAATATATAGCGGGAGAGCTGCTGAAGCAGGATGTTACATAGGTTTGAGATGGGTTTAGCCTAAGGGTAAGTGGGTGGGGCTAGAGATGGAATTTGCATGTAAATGTAAGATCGGAGAGCTGATATACCTCCACGCCCACTTACCCTTGGGCTAAACCCATCTCAAATCTATATAACATCCTACTTCAGCAGCTCTCCCCCTATATATGTTTCACCTGATGACGATTGCTTGTGTTGCGATCGAAAAGTCGTGATAATTTTATTTTTTTTCTATCTATGTAGCTTTACCGAAAGACCCAAAGAATAGTCTTTGAATAGGCTATACGAGGATTCTTTGTCTTTCTGTGAATTTCTGTATACTCTATGTGTATTGTTATTGCATTTACGTAAATAAATACAATAATCACAGCCCTTTGTCAATCCACTGCCGGATGAAGATCTCCACAGGTCATGTTCGTTATTTGATTACACTTTGCTATATCTACACGTGCGGGTTGGTAGTGGGTGGGGAGACAGAACTGAAACAGTTATCGATTGCTCATCGTTCATGTTAGCAGGAGCCGAGAACTCAACCCAGGTGCCAGGTGAGTCGCTGCACGTTGCCCAAGTCACATCAGACCATGCTTACGATTCCTCAGATTTGACGTAAATGCCAAATATGTATTCGGTGTAAACGTGCGCGGCAGTGAAATGCATTTATACCGAATCAGCCAAACTACAGCAACTCATCTGAGATCCTAATGGTAGCGGGAGAAACATTCCGAGCCATTTTGCACAGCTGTCTTGTTTAAAACGGGCTTAATATGTTAATTATGAAAGCCCTGTGCCATCTGTCAAGAGATAAGCCGTCTCCATAATTGTGACTCAACCAATGAGCCAGCAGTCTTATTTAAGCTTACAGCACACACTGCCTGTTTATTGACGGTGTGACATGTGCAGCCCTCTGATAGTAAGCACTAAGCGGTCTACCTGGAACATCTTGTTGATGTCGGTGAACTGACTCTTCATGAGCTCGCCCCAGGAGGTGAGGTTGCAGTAGGTCAGCACACCGCCCGGTTTCAGGAGGTCATACGCGTAACCCTGCCACATCAGACACAACTTTAGTGTGCAGCATATCTCTGGCAAGTGCAGCATACAGACTGCACAGTACAGTCGCTGTCTTGTAGCCTCATACACATCATGGGCAACAGGATAAGGAACCCTGAATGCAGAATAATTATAATAAAAAAGATATGTCCCCCTCTATGCTCGAATGAGTGTTGGGCAACCCAAGAAACTCGGTGCACACCAGACACAAGGACATTTAACATCAGGGGAGGAGGGAGGGACCTTGCATGGTGGCATCTGGACTCGAAAACATTGTGTGGCGGTGATAGCCCAACACAGTACACAGCGCTACCTGGGCACCAATGCACCAGACACGCTACCCAGCAGAGTAGTGACCCGACAGGGACTGGCGTTTATGTCGAGCTCAAATACCAGGAAGCAGCCCTACACTTGCACACAGGATGGCGCTGCCAAATTTAGCCTGGGCAGACGATTCCCGTGTCCGAACTGTAATATGTTATAACGGTTTCAGAGTCGCCCAAGTGTCTACAATTGACACAGATGCTGCCAGAGCCAATGAGGTAGACACTGCTCTGGTAGAATGATTTAAAAACAACTGAAGAATCACAGAATTCAGAACCAACTCTCACTTGTCCCACACACACAAAACTCGTACAACCGACACAGGTGCAGGAGCCAGTGACTAATGAAAGTGCCAAGTTACTTTCTGAAGGAAAAGCCAATCACAAATAATAGGATCATAATTGGGCAGTTTTAAAGCACTGTCTACATCAAAGCACCAGCCATTCCACCAGTCAAAAAAATCCAGCAGGCTCAACAGGCTGGGAAAAGTAATGCTCACACGAGATCGCAGGATCCCAAAGATTGCCAGCATTTCAAAATATTGAAGTTCTTTTCAGACATATAGTGGATGATAATGCTACTCATATTTCGAAAATCAATGTCACCTGAATGAAGTTGAACTGATGGGTGTGCCAGGTCTCCTCTGACAGAGGGTAAGTGTCGTACAGGATCCCTGTGAAGAGGAATACAAAGACAAAGATTCCCCATATAGCCTTATAAGAAAGTTGGAGCAAGTGCTGTTAGGGATACGGCACACGAGGGGGTGGGTGGCCAGCACCACACCCGGCTGCCTTCGAGTCCCCAGTGCTGATGTTTACAGGTACTCATCTGAAGCTGAGTCGATCTTGGGGAGGCCCAGGACCAGTTTAGATAATCGTCACTGATGTTGGGCCATAAGCAGGAATCGAACTCGAGTTGTTGGGTTCGTAGCGCAAGGCGCAAACCGCTACACCACTGCTCCCCACTGAAGAGCAATACACAGATTCACACACACAGGAATGGCATTTTGTGTTCTTCCTCTCTCATTTAGCAGGTGCTTTCTATTAATGCACCATTACCGTGAAGCTGGAAACACAGCTCATGTTAACCAGCCCTGCAATCGCTGGAAGAATGGCCTCCATGAGAGAACCCCACCAAATGGTATTTGGTCTACTCTTCCATGCTGGCCGCATGTCTTGGAAAAAGCAGGAATATGCACACACACGACTGTGCTGTCCCCATTTATACTGCTGAGAGGACAGTGCCGGGGGATTTCAAGATCTTTCAAGATCTTCGGATTCATCCTGAATATTTACGTGTATGAAATACATTATGTTTTAAATTACCAGACAATTCACCACATTCAGGAAAATGACACGAATGCCTCATATATTTGTCCTGCAGAGGAGAGGGCAATTGTTGCAAATTTAAATCTTATTTCCATATGCTTGAGGCTGATGACTTTACAAGACTGAATGCTGTACAGAGCAATTGCATTTTCTTCCCTGTGCTTGGCGAAGCCCCATCTGTGCCCACGCTTGACATTTGGTCTCCGATTAGCACGGCTGGCTACGTATGGTGCGAAAGAAGCTCAACATACATACATCTGTTCTCACCACATCCCCCCTCGTGAGATACACATGACCGTACGTATGTTGAATTTCTGTTGCACCGTACGTAGCCAACCATGCTAATCGGAGGTTCGGGGGAACAACAACAATCTAAACACAAAATCGGTTCTAAAGAAATTCGTTTTCAATCCAGATTATTTAAAGTGCATAGCTCCAGTGGCTTCCTAATATTGGAAGGAAGAGCTCTCCAAATGGCTGCAGAAGCGCATCTGAAAACGCGCGATGCAGTGGCCATCTTTGTTCGATGGTAAGCCAAAAGCTGCTGTGAGGATAACCGTATGTTGCCGTTTGTATTCATGCAAAAGTTGGGGGCGAGGGGGGGGGCATAGCCCCCCCTTACCTCTTGGATCCACTTTTTCAGGAGGGTCCTGCCAGGTTATTGTAGAGGGTGATGCTGCTGTTTGTAATCCCATCTGAGAAATTTGCAGGTAATGTTTCAGCATTAAAATAATTGGCCAATGTCAATTACACTAGTGTAGGGGTTATTACGGGAGAAACGGCGGACAACAAACACAGGGCTGTCGGCACTCACATACACGGGGGGTCACACCGACGTCCGCATCAGTTATTGCCCACGCCCCCAGCCCTCGGAGGCGATCCCTATAAAAGGTGGAACCCAAAGAGCTCGAGGCAGTTCGACACGAAGCTGACCAGTGAAGATCCAAGACTCGGAGATTAGGCCCTGGGACTCCCCGGTCTCGCCGTCCTTATAAGGGCCGAGCCGGGTAAGCCAGTGGCGCGGCCCAAGAGCTTCCAGACCGCTGCCCTTATCAGGGCAAGGCTGGTTAGCTGGTGCCGAGATCTGTGCTTGCCAGGGCCAGATCAGTCAGCCTCCCGTAGCCCAGTAGAGGAGGACTGGGGGACAGGACAGAGGGCTTAGTACTAGGGTGGGTTTCCCATAGTACGGGTGAAGGGGCCGATACCCCTTCAACTATTGTATCTGTCCCGGAGTTAATAAACAGTGTGTCTCAACTTCCTCATCGTCTCCTCATCAACTTACTACATCTGGTGTTGGAAGTGGTCCAAGCATGGATACGAGACGGAAGACTCGTGCCCAAGACCCAGGAGAGGATGACGACGAGGGAGGGGCAGTGCAAGACATCGCCGCCGACGTACCTGCACAACAGCTGCCGGCTCCGACATCGGCGGGGTCGTCGGAGAGGGCCGGGACGTCGACTGACGAGTTGGCGTTGGCTCACTCGCGGCTGGCGGAGCTCTTGTATGCAGCGGCCGCTATGCTGGAACAAATAATTCGCCTGGGGCCGGGAGGAGCGACGCGGCGGGAAGATGGACAACGCCCGCCAGAAACTCCCGCCTTTACAACAGCGGGGCGACTCGAAAATCCCGCCACGAAGACAGTAGGGGCGGAGGGAGGAGTCCCAGCTCGTCACGCGGGAGACGGTGCCCAACCAGCAGCCGCCACGTCATCGGCGGAGGCGGGTCGCGGTGGCAGCCTATCAGGGGTTGATACGTCACCACCAGCGGACGCCAGCACCGACCATACAGTACGGGGACGCGCTACGGATGCTGCAAGAGACGCTGCAAGAGGATCGGAGACGGAGCCGACATTCCAGCAACGCCTGCCGGCCCTGCAGGTATTTGTTGCAAGCGACGGCGATTGGGGGGGGTTCCAGCGCCGGTTCTTGGCCCACCAAGAGATGGCAGGCTGGTCGGACAACGAGGCGCTGTGTGCTCTCCCGGCGTTATTGGACGGCGACGCCCTGGGCACCCTCACTGCTGCACCCAAGTCGGCACGCTCCACCATTCAGTCGGCGCTGCAGCTGCTGGCCACCGTTTATGGGCCGCCCTCCGATTGTCGCCAGCTCTTCTATGAACGGCAGAAGGGTGATAAGGAATCGCCACTCGCTTATCGCACGGCCCTGCTGTCATTGGCGAAAGACGCTTTCCCGCGTATGGATGAAGAGGGGATCGATGCGATGGTGGCCGAGAAAATTTTGCTGCTGGCTGACGATCTGGACTTCACCATCTTAGCGCAGGACGATGCGGATATGTCATCACTGCGGGCTGCAAGGCACATTCACGCCAATCTCATCTCCCAGCGGAGGAAGGCGAACAAAGCTGCTGCACGACACACCGTGGCGGCAACCTCTTCTGGAATGGAGGGAGCCTTCGCTGCGGATCGTTCTGCAGGATGGCGATCTGCCGAGCGACCGGCTCGGGACGTTCCAAGCCACCGAGACCAGCCCAAGTCCTCTGGAACGCTCGTCGTCTGCTATAATTGTGGCCTCCGGGGCCACGTGGCGTCCGGATGCCGGGCTCCTCGACAGCGCGGTGCGAGACCTGGAGCTGCGGACGGCCCTCCTCACAAGCCTTCGCAACATCCTCGGGCAAGTCATGGCACCCCACATGTTCGGCCTGCACACACACCCACTTTCCTATCACATGGTCCGATACACAATTCTCGGGGGTTGGGTGCTGGTGCGTCGGGTCGCGGCATGTCGGGGAGGGCGCTCCAACCGGGCCAATGGTCCGAGTTGGCTCACCGAGTTGTGGCTGCATCAGCGGGGTCGTCCGTTGTCGCGGGGCATATTGACGGGGTGGAGGTACGGCTATTGGTCGATACGGGAGCTTCGGCAACTATCATTTCAGATTTGATTTATAATATCCTGCCCGTTCAGAGTCGCCCGTTGCTCCCTGTCGATATACCGTTTTACGCTGCGAATGGGGGCTCGTTGGGTATTATCGGTCAAATTCGAGCGCAAATTTCGATAGGGGACATTAAACTATCTGGCCCGGTGTTCGTCTCCTCCTCGCTGGCTATTCCGTGCCTGTTGGGGACAGACTTTTTGGCCAAATTGCCCATCAAAATTCTGATTGACCAGCAATGCATCGAGCTTCCATCGGGCCGACGTATGACGTTCCTACCTGCCACCCCTGCCGTGCGTGTTGCCTGTGCTACGGTACAGGCGCTTGTTGCTCGGACGGTGCGTGTACCCCCGGGGGCACAGATGTTGGTACCCCTGCGCTTGCGTCGACCGTTCGATAAAGGAGTCTCTGACCGGGGCGTTATTTTGGGACCATCTAGAGCCGGGGTGAGTGGGCCAGATCTGGTGACGGCCCAGACTATTGTTAAAGGGGATGGGGACCCGTTTATCGCGGTCCTCAATGTCGGGACACGGACGGCAGTGGTTTCGCAAGGTACCGTGTTCGCACATGCGGTTCCGGTACCTGCGGAAACGCCGATCATTGGCCAGGTGGCCACCGATTCTCAAACGCGATTAGCCTCAGACGCTGACGAGGGTTGGCTGGATGCGTTGTGTGCTGAGTCACCTGACCTGTCTGACGCACAACGTGCTAGATTACGCGCCTTATTGCGAGAATTTTCCGACGTTTTCAGTAAACATAAATACGATATCGGATGTACCGAATTGCTACGCCACCATATTGACACCGGTGACAACGCTCCTATCCGCCAGAATCCTTTTCGGTTAAGTCCCGCCGAAAAGGATCATGTCAAATCGGCTGTAGATGACATGTTGAAATCGGACATAATTTCTCCCTCAACCAGCCCTTGGGGTGCACCCATAGTGTTGGTTAAAAAGCACGACGGGTCCCTAAGGTTCTGCGTTGATTTCCGGCGATTAAATAAGATCTCGGTGGCCGATGCTTATCCGCTTCCTCGAATGGACGAATCGCTGGATGCCCTCGCGGGATCGCGATTCTTTTCCACTTTGGATTTGCTCTCAGGATTTTGGCAACTTCCCTTGGACGACGAATCTAGACCCAAAACTGCTTTCCGAACGCCGCACGGCCTCTTCCAATTCAATCGCTTACCCATGGGATTACACTCTGCTCCCGCGACGTTCCAGCGCCTGATGGAATTGGTCCTCGCTGGCTTGCAATGGGAGGTGTGTTTGATTTACCTGGATGACGTTATCGTATTCAGTAAGACGTTCGAGGAACACCTTGATAGGCTTCGGGCCGTCTTTCTCAAGATGCGCGCTGCAAATTTGAAATTCAAGCCACAAAAGTGCCATTTGCTGCGCGAATCTGTTAAATATTTGGGTCACATCGTCGGCCGGTCAGGTATCTCAACCGATCCCGCCAAAACGCGTTGTGTCAGCTCCTGGCCTACCCCAACCTCGGTGGGGGAGGTTAGAAGCTTCATCGGCTTTGCTTCATATTACCGTCGGTTTGTTGCGGACTTTGCTTCCATCGCTAAGCCACTACATGCCTTGACGTCAAAAGGGGTCAAATTTCATTGGGGGCCGGTGGAGAACGCCGCTTTTGTCTCTCTTCGGGATGCCCTGGTGGGGGCCCCGCCGTTAAGCTACCCCGATTTTTCCATGCCGTTCGTGCTCGACACGGACGCGAGCAATACCGGGATTGGAGGCGTGCTGTCACAAATTGTGGGTGGCGTGGAGCGCGTTGTGGCTTATGGTAGTAGAGTACTGTCCCCGGCCGAGCAGCGGTACTGCGTCACCCGCCGCGAACTGTTGGCTATCGTGTTCTTTATCCAACAGTACCGGCCATATCTGTACGGCCGGCATTTCACCGTCCGTACAGATCATGCGGCATTGCAGTATGCCCTACGAATTAACCAGCCATCGGGGCAGTTGTCCCGATGGCTCGAGATCATGCAGGATTTCGATTTTGAAACAACTTACCGGAAGGGGATTCGCCACACCAATGCCGATGCCCTATCACGCCTGCCGATCGCCCCGGATTGCACTTGTTTCTTGGGTTCGGGCCGTTGCAAATCGGCAAGTGACGGTCAGGATCGGGTTCTTGCGGCCGCAGTTGATACTCCTTCGGACGCTGGTCCTTTTTCGGAGGGTGGGAGTGATTCCCTACTTGGCTTGTCGAGTGCTGAGTGGGGCCGCCTCCAAATGGAGGATGCGACCCTCCTGGCACTACGACGTCGCGCGGAAGGATCGGGTCCAGGGAAGTCGGGCGTTGACTCATGGGGGTGGTGCCAGGGCTTACTCATGCATTGGGACGGGACGATCCGCCGTCACAGGCTGGTGGTGCCTTCCACGTTGAGGGGTAGGGCTGTATGGGCTGCTCATGAACGGCTCCTGCACCTGGGTACCCTCAAAACACTTGCCATGCTCCAGCTTAATTACTTTTGGCCGGGCATGGCAAGAGATGTGGACGATCTGCTGCGGTCCTGTACCCAGTGTGCACAACGGAAGCCGCCGGCGAAGGGAGCCAGTCCACCGCTCCAGTCCATTTCGGTCACCCGGGTTAACGAGCTGGTCGCCCTTGATATTTTGGGACCGTTTCCTTCCACGCCGAGGGGTAATAAGTACCTGCTGGTTGGCGTGGAATATTTCACGCGATGGCCTATGGCTTGGCCCCTCGCCAACCAGTCCGCAGCGGCCGTTGCGGAGGCTTTTGTTCAGGGCTACGTCCTCGACAAAGGCGCTCCGGAACGGTTGTTGACCGATCAGGGAAAGAATTTCACTAGTACCCTTTTACACGAGGTATGTGGCCTTCTGGGTACAAAGAAAGTTCGTACCTCGCCTTACCATCCACAAACGGATGGGATGGTGGAACGCTTGCATAGGACTCTTACGTCCATGCTATCCCACCAGGTATCTGAGTCCCAAAACGATTGGGATCTACGGATCGGGGGAGTCTTGGCGGCATACAGGATGGCTCCTCACGCGGCGACCGGGTTCTCGCCATTTTTTTTGATGTATGGTCGCGAGGTTGACCCGCCTGTCGCGACTCAGCTGACGATTGCCGCGCCTCATGCTAAGTCGAAAATCGCCGACCATGTTAAATTTAACATCCTTCGCTTGGCGGAGGCACGGCAGGCGGCCATGCAAAACTCTGACTCTCGCCAGAAACAAAACGAGAGATTGCGGTCGCGCCGGACTCACACGCACGAATGGCACCCGGGCGACCGAGCATGGTTGCACTGCCCCCAGGTGCCATTGGCCACCTCGGCTAAGTTGTTGCGACCATGGAGGGGCCCCGTTGAAATTGTGCAGGTTGTGCGGCCTCAATGTGTGCGCATTAAGTGGGGGAAGCGTCGGTGGTTTGTGCACCCTTCACGGTTAAAGCCATTTTTTGCTCCGCACGCTTCCTCCCACGTAAATGGCCGAACATGTGGGGAGTCCTCTGACTCCGGGGGGGCGGGATCGATGCCAGCCTCTGATCCACTAATGACTGTCCCGTCTTCAGGAGCCCCAGGACTGAAGCCCTCTGGGCTGCCAGCCTCCCCCGTGGGGGGCGGCGCTGGCACGTCCGGGAAACCGGACGACCAGGCACCTGCTGATGCGACACCTGCCACCGACTCTACCAAGCCGGCCCCTTGTGACGGGCCCGCTGCACGGACTCGCGCCAAAACGCGCCGGTTGTTATGATTAGCTTTCCGCGCGTGTTCCGTTGCTGCGGAACCCGCTCATTGTATATATGTTTTTTTAATGGTTGTATGTGTGTGTAATAACGATGACCACGCTATCTGCTTGTTGCTTGCTGTCCATGTAAGTGTGTGCGTGTGTTGGGAATGGACGGAGAGTCTGCTGTGGTTGCTGAGTTTCAAAGGGAGTGTGTGCGCTGCTGCGTGGAGTTGTTATCTTGATGGTAAAGTTAATTATTAACGTGGGAGCGTCGGGTATCCTGTGCTGTACCATCTCGTGGGTCACCGTGCGCGATGGGCTTAATTGTAAAAAAAAAAATGTTTTTTTTGGGCTGTATTATGCTGCGAGGTGCTGTGTGCGATGCGGTCGTTGCATGAGAGGGAATAACTGTGTTGTGGTTGAAAAGTTACGACGGGATTGATGGTGTGTTGGTCGCCTGCAGATTTGCTTGCTATTGTGCTTCAATGTACGCGTGTGATCGCGATATGCTGATTGCATGTGCTGTTATACCGTTCTGTATATGTGTTGCGGTTCCGGGTGGGGGTTTTTTTTTTTTTTTAAGGAACCATCGGTTGATGTTACGCTTGTTCTTGTTATTGTTACTGTTACGAGGCACACGTGTATTGACGGTGTTAATCTTTATTCTTGGGGGTTGAGGGATTGTTGCAGCCGGGACGGCTGCGAGCTGTACAGGGGGGGGTGATGTAGGGGTTATTACGGGAGAAACGGCGGACAACAAACACAGGGCTGTCGGCACTCACATACACGGGGGGTCACACCGACGTCCGCATCAGTTATTGCCCACGCCCCCAGCCCTCGGAGGCGATCCCTATAAAAGGTGGAACCCAAAGAGCTCGAGGCAGTTCGACACGAAGCTGACCAGTGAAGATCCAAGACTCGGAGATTAGGCCCTGGGACTCCCCGGTCTCGCCGTCCTTATAAGGGCCGAGCCGGGTAAGCCAGTGGCGCGGCCCAAGAGCTTCCAGACCGCTGCCCTTATCAGGGCAAGGCTGGTTAGCTGGTGCCGAGATCTGTGCTTGCCAGGGCCAGATCAGTCAGCCTCCCGTAGCCCAGTAGAGGAGGACTGGGGGACAGGACAGAGGGCTTAGTACTAGGGTGGGTTTCCCATAGTACGGGTGAAGGGGCCGATACCCCTTCAACTATTGTATCTGTCCCGGAGTTAATAAACAGTGTGTCTCAACTTCCTCATCGTCTCCTCATCAACTTACTACACTAGTATAGGTTGGGGTTTTTTTTATATATTGGGAGGAAACCAGAGAACCCGGTGGAAAACCGTGGCAGAACAGGGGGAGAGCAACACACTATGCAGAAATGTACCTACGTGGGGAATCAAATACAGGCCTTTCTTGCTGTGAGGAACAATTGCCACCACTGCGCTAGCCTGCCGCCCGATATGAGAGTGTCTATACTTAATTACCGTCAAAGTGTCCTTTCGGCAGCGTAGGCACGACGTCTTCCCACAAGCCCTTCAGTGGGACCACCTGAAACAACAATGGCATCGCGAATAAAGCAGCTCTGTCTGTTAAACCCTGCACTGCCTTTCCCATTCCTGGGAATGATCGCAATTACTGACAAAGCCACATCGCACAATTCAGTTTCATTATGCTTTAAACATCAATTTCAATGTCCATGCTTGCCAACTTTTTTCAGTTATAGACTTGCATTTTTTTCCTATGAAACAAAATTACTGAGCATAGGGCCCGAAGGCCCAAAATGTCAAGCAACAAACATTATGACTATCAGATATGTAACAGTTGAAATACTTGGTTAGGGTTGACTCGCCTATAGGGTCAGCAAAGTAGCTTTGCAGGGACGAACTCTACTTTGGCAAGGTATCCAACAGTGTCTGTCCGATTGACCTAAAAAATACTGATCCCCGTTGTGGGAATGCAGAATTAACATGAGTCGTTCAGGACTACCGAATCAACTAACAGAGTAAATTGTCCCTTTATTTGATAAAATCCTCGCCGAGTCTTGAAAATAATGTTTCGTGTGTGGAAAAAAGACTAGGGCGCTCAACGAGGAAGTCGACAAATATGAGGGGTGGTATTGAAAAATTAAATCTGCACTGATGAGTTACAATCCCACTTGCTGCACTGCCATATTGTTGAGCATGCTGAGCATGCTGAGGGGGTCACAACACGTGATGATTTACTGTACGTGCGCTCCACCAACCCTGCCTCCAAAGAGGCTGCATTGTGGGCGTATGCCCACCATGACCAGCCGCCATCTGAGATGCTATGCTGACGAGAACTGTACTTACTCTCGGTGAACCCCTTTGTCTGAACCCAATCTGGGACAATCGGACGGCAGCAGGAAACGAAGTCTTGCTGGAGTATTGATCCACACCCGGGCGAATCGTTGTCATGATCAGCAGCAAAAAGCAGTGCTCCTCATAGGCTACTTTGTGGCACGATAAGCAACGACAAGCAATGTCGCAGTACCCAAATTGTAAATGTTGTGGGTTTACTGAAATAGTAATTATCCGTAATACATTTTTTTTGCTTAAATGACATGAATATAAATGTGTCATTGAGTCTGAAATGCCAATTAGGTACTGGTTGCAGTAACGAATTGGCATGTTTTGTTTACGTGACAAACATTACTAATTGGCTGTGTCGGGTGGTAGCAGGTTTAACGACACATTCATATTTATGCGATCTAACCCCCAAAAAACTTATATTATGGATAAAGTGTGCATGCTGCAAGTGCCCCCCCCTCCGCTACCAAAGCTGCCACTTCTCTGCGGCAGACGCTGACACCTGCCCTGCCGCTCTCACCTTGTGCAGCTGCTGCCCTGCCCATCGCTGCAGACGTGCGAACACCCCGTCGTTGCACTCGACGATCCAGTGCTCGGCGATGTCGTGCTCCTCGATCTTGGTGGCCGCAATGGCCATGCCGAAGCCAATTTCCAGCACCCTACCGCCTGGATGTCCAGTATAGCAGGGCACAGGGCAAAACGTTACAACAAGAAACAATACAAAAATACGATGAGAGTGCAAATTATAGGAAAAGTAAAAAATCACAAAAAAAAAGATCCAAATAAAACCAAACTATTTTTTATCTTACCAGGTAAAACCCACTGAGCTGTATAGCTCTTTTTTCAGAAGCGACCTGGCCACAAGTGATAGCCCAACGAAGTGGCTTATGATGTGGAAATATACAGCAACCGAATACTCTTAACGCACGTTTCTAAATGTAGAGGAAAAAACTAGAGGAGCTGGTGAAAAATCCACGCGACCACGGGGAGAGCGTGCAAACTCCAAATATACAGGCATCAGGGTCGGGATCAAACCCACGACCTCCTGCATACCAGGAGAGGTAGTTAACATCTAGCCACAGCAGAAGTGGCTTATCACGTGGCAGAGACGACCGCCGGCCACTCCCGTCAGTGGCTGTCGGCCCCCGGTGCATTGCACCCATCTCAGTCACAGGCGTCGACTGTCAACTGTAACTCTGATTAGCATGTTTGGCTACGTACGATGCAAAATAAGTTTAACATACATATGTACGTACATACACGCAGCTCCGCTCCATCAAAACAGACAAATAAATATATCCATGTTGTTTAAGTGCACAAGGAACCGAGTAGCAGTAAATATTTTAAGCGTTGTTGACAATGTTTAGATATTCGTTTTCACTGACCATTAAATGTGTTAGATAATAGTTTTCGGTAGATGTAATTAGACTTAAGTGATTATGAATGGATTGTTTGTGGTGTACCAGACATTCCACATAACAGGAAAGAGTCTCCCCCTCAATTGGTCTGGCTTTGAGAGGTTTCCACTGCCTTACAATCCTACATTAATTTCAGAAAACATATAATGAACTACCCTGAGTAGCATAACTAACTTTAGTTGTATGTGACATATGTAAATACCAGCCCAATGATGGGTCAATCTGATAATCAAATACTGTGTATAAGTGTAGCTTTTTAAGGCATGCTCATACAAATAATATTATTTCCCTGCAGGTTTAATCTCCACTATGTTTTATGGCAACATTCCAAAGACAGGGATATGTTTTAACAGGAAAGGCTGTACTTTTCTCATGGTGTTAATTCTTGCAGACCGGTCTATTAATGACCGATGGCACACGTAAGACCAAAATACACAGCATTCACATCTATATAATATGCGGAGAACGTTTGAAATTTCAGGCTGGCTTCTCAGCTGTGTACGGTGTGCAGTGGAGCTTCAAATGAGTGGGAGCTCACATCTACTAAATGCAGCTGATTTGGAGTGTAGTTTTAATTGTACAATGTGTAGGTGGACCCCAATGGAGAATGGACCAAGTGGACAAAGTTTAAAGAAATGTTTAATTGTAAAATCCTAACAAATAACATAAAACACATTAACACGTCTTCATTAACACTAAATTATGACAGACTTAAATTTTAGGCAATGACTGCATTTTAGAGCAGCTCTAAAGAACAGCCATTGTCCAAACAGCCCCATAAAAAGTGGCATCGTCTGAAACCGCTGGATATATTTTCTTCCTCTAATGAGGCCACGTTAATGCTGACGTTTGGCGACATGTTCTCATTTGCCTGTTCACCCAGGAAAGGTTCATCTGGTCATCGATAACCTTTTGAGAAAGGTCACTGTGCAAAATGTAAGGCCAATTCTCTCAAAACATTTCCCTTTGTGCCCAGAAAAAAAACCTACACAGGCAAGGGAAGCAAATCTCGACCAGCACCACCTAGCCAGTGAGTTGGAGCACGTACACCAAGCCCTCAGGTTGAACGGATACTTGGACCATACAATCCGCAAAGCTGTCTCCCCAGCCATGCAGAGACAACCTTCTGAGGATCCAACCAAAACCATCACTTTACCGTACATAGCAGGGGTTACCAAAAAGATTTCCAAAATCTTAAACAAACACAAGATCCAGGTTCGTTTCAACACAGTACGCAAAATCCGTGATTTAATCCCATCTGTAAAGAATGATCAGTCTATAATTTTAATGGTAGGTTAATATGAACAATGAGAGACAGAATAACAACAACAAAATCCAGAAAAAAGCATGTCAAAAATGTTGTAAATTGATTTGCATTTTAATGAGGGAAATAAGTATTTGACACCTCTGCAAAACATGACTTAGTACTTGGTGGCAAAACCCTTGTTGGCAATCACAGAGGTCAGACGTTTCTTGTAGTTGGCCACCAGGTTTGCACACATCTCAGGAGGGATTTTGTCCCACTCCTCTTTGCAGATCTTCTCCAAGTCATTAAGGTTTCGAGGTTGACGTTTGGCAACTCGAACCTTCAGCTCCCTCCACAGATTTTCTATGGGATTAAGGTCTGGAGACTGGCTAGGCCACTCCAGGACCTTAATGTGCTTCTTCTTGAGCCACTCCTTTGTTGCCTTGGCCGTGTGTTTTGGGTCATTGACATGCTGGAATACCCATTCACGACCCATTTTCAATGCCCTGGCTGAGGGAAGGAGGTTCTCACCCAATATTTGACGGTACATGGCCCCGTCCATCGTCCCTTTGATGCGGTGAAGTTGTCCTGTTCCCTTAGCAGAAAAACACCCCCAAAGCATACTGCTTCCACCTCCATGTTTGACAGTGGGGATGGTGTTATTGGGGTCATAGGCAGCATTCCTCCTCCTCAAAACACGGCGAGTTGAGTTGATGCCAAAGAGCTTCGTTTTGGTCTCATCTGACCACAACACTTTCACCCAATTGTCCTCTGAATCATTCAGATGTTCATTGGCAAACTTCAGACGGGCATGTATATGTGCTTTCTTGAGCAGGGGGACCTTGTGGGCGCTGCAGGATTTCAGTCCTTCACGGCGTAGTGTGTTACCAACTGTATTCTTGATGACTATGGTCCCAGCTGCCTTGAGATAATTGACAAGATCCTCCCGTGTAGTTCTGGGCTGATTCCTCACCGTTCTCATGATCATTGCAACTCCACGAGGTGAGATCTTGCATGGAGCCCCAGGCCGAGGGAGATTGACAGTTCTTTTGTGTTTCTTCCATTTGCGAATAATCGCACCAACTGTTGTCACCTTCTCACCAAGCTGCTTGGCGATGGTCTTGTAGCTCATTACAGCTTTGTGTAGGTCTACAATCTTGTCCCTGACATCCTTGGAGAGCTTTTTGGTCTTGGCCATGGTGAAGAGTTTAGAATCTGATTGATTGATTGCTTCTGTGAACAGGTGTCTTTTATACAGGTAACAATCTGAGATTAGGATCACTCCCTTTAAGAGTGTGCTCCTAATCTCAGCTCGTTACCTGTATAAAAGACACCTGGGAGCCAGAAATCTTTCTGATTGAGAGGGGGTCAAATACTTATTTCCCTCATTAAAATGCAAATCAATTTATAAAAAAAAATCCTGTCTCTCACTGTTCAAATAAACCTACCATTAAAATTATAGACTGATCATTTCTTTGTCAGTGGGCAAACGTACAAAATCAGCAGGGGATCAAATACTTTTTCCCGTCACTGTACCTTTGCCGTTGCCAATCATTGTTTTAACGCTGTGGGCTCACACGAAATAGATGTTTCCAAGACAGAGGTACTCTGCAAACCTACCGGCTACCTTCAGATATTTGTTCATGAAGCCATCCAGATATATAAACACAGACACAACTTAAACCGAGAGGATGGGGACAAACTGAGCAATCATTGGAAGGACGTTATTAACCAGGTAAAGTCTTAACTGTGATGCTTCCATCCTACCTGCCTATGTCAGCTGTTATTTCCGACTCTCTGTGTGTCTCTCTCTATGCCTCTCTCTTAGATCTCTCATGCTCACATGTCCTTTGCATTGCACTCTCATACCTTTGGATTGCACTCTCATGCTCACATGTCCTTTGGATTGCACTCTCATACTCACATGCCCTTTGGATTGCACCCGTTGGGTTCCACTCATGCCTTTGGATTGCACCACTCTTCGATTTTACATTAACATGCTAATCTCTCACATTAACATAGCCACTTCTGTGCCCTCGTCGAGGGGGCCGCTCTCCTGTCTTACAGTTACATGCTAATTTTTCACATTAACATCACTAGCCTCGGCCACTTCTTGGGCTACACCCATTTCAAACCTTTTAAAACAGTCTGCCTCAGCAGCAGGCCATGCTTTCCCACCTGATGACGGACGCTTGTGTTGCGCCCGAAACTTCGTGATTTATTTTATTTTATACCTACGTGACTTTACCGAAAGAACCAAAGAGTATAATTTACATTACGTTAAGTACTCTCTTTAAAATATCTTTGTGCGAACAAAAGTGATGTCACTCGATGCCTCGTGACATGACTTTTGGCAGAAAAAGCGTGCAAGCGACGTTGTGAAAGCGCCGTCATTCCCTGCGATGTCGTGTTATTGAATTAATCTCATAGAAAAAAACCGTTGGGATTGTTCTAAATTCTCCCAATCTAGTCTCGATTTGTCTGAGGTTTTTTTTCAATACAATAATTAGAAACATACCCCTACCACCTCGTGTATTAAGTTACACAAGTCCTCATATATTTCTCAAAAAGTCAAAGTGTTCCCATAACTCAAATGAGCTGGGCAATGATCAGTGGACTGTCTTGAGCCAATGATTGGACTCCGGTATTCCCTCGTTATTCACGAACTTGCTATCAAACTTGATTTGAAGCTTTCGTAACTGCAGGAATTACTATTTGGTTCTTTTGGTAAAGTCACGTAGAAATAAAATAAAATGAAATAATAGAATACGACGTTTCGATTGCAACACAAGCAATCGTCATCAGGTAGAACTAAATTTGAGAGAGACAAAACACAGACATGGAGACACATAGACAGACACACAAGCAGAGAGAGACAACACAGAGACACACAGAGAGAGATACACAACATAAACACACAGAGACCCAATGCCTCCATGTCATGGCCTTAAATAGAGAGAGGGGGGCACAGAGAGAGGTGGGTCTGCTGGAGCAGAGAAATT